ATCATTTGTTGAAAAGACTGTTCTTTCCCCACTAAATAGTCTTGGCACCTTTGAGAAAACTCAGCTGACCATAGGTGAGTGGGTTTATTTCTGGATTCTCAATTCTATTCCATTGGTCTATAAGTCTATCCTTATGCCAGTACCACACTAATTTGATTAATGTGACTTTGTCAGAAGTTTTGAAATTAATGTCCTCCAACTTTAGTTTTCTTTTTTTCCCCAAGATTGTTTTGGTTATGATGCATCCCTTCCATTTCCATGATTTTTAGGATCAGCTTTTCCATTTCTGCGAAAAGGCCATTAGGATTTTGATAGGATTGCATTAAATCTGTAGACCACATCAGGGAGTATTGTCATTTTAACAGTGTTAAGTCTTCCAATCCATGACTATGGCCTATCTTTCCATCTATTTAGGCCATCTTCAATTTCTTGCAACAACATTCTGTAGTTTTCAGTGTACAAGTCTTACACCTTCTTGATTAAATTTGTTCCTAAGCATTTTAATCTTTTCAAATGTATTATAAATGGAATTGTATTTTTTTTTCCTTTTTGTCTTTTTTCGTGTCCGGCAACGGATCGCAACCCTCAGTGTCGCGCCTGTACCGGACCGGGACCGGCAATGGGATCGCAACCCTCAGTGTTGCGCCCGCACCTCGCTCAGCCAGTGAGCGGGAACCGGTCTGTATGTGGGATCCGAACCCTCGGCGGGAGCGCCGCCGCGCTCCCAAGCGACACACTGTAGCAGTGCGCCACCGGGCCGGCCCCGGAATTGTATTTTTAATTTCATTTTTGGACTATCAATTTCTAGTGTATAGGAATACAACTTTTTTTTTTGTCTTTTTTCGTGTCCGGCAACGGATCGCAACCCTCAGTGTCGCGCCTGTACCGGACCGGGACCGGCAACGGGATCACAACCCTCGGTGTTGCTCCTGCACCTCACTCAGCCAGTGAGCGGGAACCGGTCTGAAATACAACTTATTTTTGTGTGATCTTGTATCTTGCAACTTTGCTGAATTTCTACTAGCTCTAATAAGTTTTTTGTTGATTCTGTAAGATTTCCTATACATAAGATTAAATTATCTGTGAGGAGAGTTTTATGAGGGTACTTCAAAAAGTTCATGGGAAAGTGGAATTGAAAGATAATATGAATCTTTCCATTAACTTTTTGAAGACCTCACCATACTTTTCCCTTACTTGGATGTCTTTTATTTCATTTTCTTACCTAATTGCTCCGGCTAGAACTTCCAGTACAGCGTTGAATACAAGTGGTAAAAGCAGGCATCCTTGTCTTGTTCCTGGTCTTGGGGGGGGTGGGGCAGGAAACTTTCAGTCTTTTGCCATTGTATATGAACTAAGCTACGAGTATCTCATACACTTTATCATGTTGAGGAAGTTCCTTTCTATTTATTTTTTTGAGTGTTTTTATTATAAAAGGGTACTGGATTTTGTCAAATGCTTTTTGTGCATCAAATGATCATGTATTCTTTCCCCTCATTCTATTGTGTATTACATTGATTTCATATGTTGAATCACCATTGCATTCCTGGGATAAATCCCATTTGGTGATGATGTGGAATCCTTATAATGTGCTGCTGGACTTGATTTGGTATTTTGTTGAGAGTTTTTGCATCTATATTTATAAGGAATATTGTTCTGTAGTTTTCTTGTGATGCCATTGTCTAGATTTGATATTAAGGTAATGCTGACCTCACAGAATGAGTTATGAACGTTCTTACCTCTTCTACTTTATGGGACAGTTTGAGAAGTACTGGTGTTAATTCTTTAAATGTTTGGTAGAATTCTATGTTGGGACATTTTTGATTACTAATACAATCTCGTTATTTGTTATAGCTCTGTTCAGATCTTCTTTTTCTTCTTTAGTCAATATTGGTAGTTTGTATTTAGGAATTTATTCATTTCATCTATGTTATCTAATTTATTGGCATGTAAGTATTCATAGACTTCTATAATCCTTTTTATTTCCAAAAGGCCAGTAGTAATGTACCCAATTTTCATTTCTGCTTTTAGTAATTTCAGTCTTCTCTGTTTATCTTAGTATAAATTAAGGTTTGTCAATTTTCTTGAACTTTTCAAAGAACAAATTTTTGGTCTTGGTGATTTTCTCTTTTCTTTTTTTATTGTTTTATTTATCTCTGCTGTAATCTTTATTATTTTTCCTTCTGATAGCTATGAGTTTAGTTTGCTCTTTTTTTCCTAGTTCTTTAAGGTGTGAAGTTAGGTTATTGATTTGGGATCTTTCTTCCTTAAATGTAGGTATTTACAGCTATAAACTTCCCCGAGCACTGCTTTCTCTGTTATCATGTGTTTTTGTATGTTGCATTTTCATTTCCATTTGTCCCAAAGTATTTTCTAATTTCTCTGTGAGTTCTTCTTTGACCCACTGGTTGTTTAAGAGTGTAATGTCAGTGGAGGGTTTTAAGTAAGGGAGTGTGCCATAGTAAGATTTATGCTTTAGCAAGATGATGTTGGCTGCTAAGTGAACAAATGGTTGTGGAAAGGAAAGCGTGAATACTGGAAAGCCATTTAAGAGGCTGTTGAAATTGTCTCTGTGAGAAATGATGTTGACATTGTCAAAGGTAGAGACAAAAATGGCAGAAAATATTCACATGTAGGACATATTTTGGTAGTAGAATTTATAGGAACTGTTGACCAATTTACTATTTGGCTGATGGAAAAAGTAAAACCAGGAATTACTTTTCGGTTTTGGCTTGAATAGTTGGGTAGATGAAAGTGGTGTTTACGGAGATAGGAAGACAAGGTTTCTTTTTTCTTTTTCAGTGGTGAGAAAGAGTGCTGAGGGAGAGAAAACAAGAGTTGTTTTGAGAGCTGAGATGCTTATTAGAACTGTAAATAAGTATTATTATACAGTTTAAACATAAACATCCAAAGTGAAGGCCAAAACTTTTGTACATTTGGGAGTCAACAACACAGAATGGTTATTACATGGAACTGAATGAAATTACCTAAGGAAAAAGTATAGACTGAGGAAAAATGAGAGACTAGGAATAAGGCCCACATTAAAAGGTAAAAGGGAAGCCAAGAAAGAGACAAGGAATGAAAAATACAAGCCAGCTCAGGTTTTAAGCATAAACATCCAAAGTGAAGGCCAAAACTTTTGTACATTTGGGAGTCAACAACACAGAGATGGTTATTACATGGAACTGAATGAAATTACCTAAGGAAAAAGTATAGACTGAGGAAAAATGAGAGACTAGGAATAAGGCCCACATTAAACGGTAAAAGGGAAGCCAAGAAAGAGACAAGGAATGAAAAATACAAGCCAGCTCAGGTTTTAAGTGTGAAATGCCACTAAGAGACTATGTAAGAAAACAGATTAGATTTGGCAGCATAAATCACTAGTGATTTTAATGAAAAATAGTTTCAATGAAATAGAGGCAGAAGCTAGACTGAGGGACGGTAAGGAGCAAACAGAAAGTAAGATGAAATAGTAAATAGAGGAGATTATTTTGATATGTACTCTGAAAAGGTGAGTAGAGAATTACATGGGAAGGGTAGCAGTTAGAGGGGAAGTTGATGTCAAGGGAGGGCCTTATTTATTTTCTTATTTAATAAACAAACAGGCTATGAAAAACAGGAGAGAAAAATCAAAGATAATGGGATTCAGAGCACTAATAGGGTGACTGTCCTTAAATAAAGAGGCAAATCTGCCACTGGAACAAGAAAGAAATCAAAATTGTGCTACTGATGCAGGTAACACGTTAGAATTTAGGGTGAAGATGAGGAAATTATGAAGACTATCAGCTGAAAGGTAAAGAATTAAGGAAAGAAGTATTGGTATGCAATATTATTTTAGAAATATGGTAAAGCCAATTAACTAGGGCAGAGTAAGGATTGTTGAGCAATGCTTACTGCCCATTTTAAGTACGTAGCCATAAATTTAAAGCTTGATTGTATGATATTCCTCCAGTGCTGTTCAGTTGGTAGAATGAAGGCTGCAAATTAGCGGATAAAGTTGACAGGAGGAGAAAGGTCAGGACAGTATCATTTTGGGCTCTGGAATCTAGAATGGATAAGGAAGGAAGAACAGACAAGAGTAACAGGCATAGGGAAAAAGTGGCATAATAAATAGCTTGAGATTACTCTTGAAAGCAAGTTGGAAATACAGAAAGGTCAGGGTAATAAGAAAGTTGGAAAATGAGACTCAGAGGGGCATATCTATTGGTACTAATAAGGTTATAACAGAAAAATTTGGAAGGGCAGGGAAGAAGTATGAACTTGGGATGGATTACATATACATTGAAGTATGGAAATATGTGTAACGTATGATTTAGGAAACTTGTAATCCTGGCTAAGGATGAGGTAAACAGGGAGGTAAGGCACAATGGGATTAGTTCTAAAGTCTCACAGGGGAACATGGAGTTGCAATTCCTGAGTAGTATTTAATATTATAGCAGAGCTGTCACTCTCACTTGGAATATAAACCCTGCTACCCTATCAATAAATCTTAGCTAATGCTAATATTGAATAAAGCTGGCTAAATGAGAAGGGTTTTCTTTTGCTTATCTTGACTAAGAAGCCACTTTTACCCCTGTATTTAAGTACTTGTCTAATTCAAATACTCTGCTACCATTAAATTGGCAAGGGATATTAAGGCTGCTTGGTATTACACTTCAGTTGCCTGACTGGAGAAGAATATTTTGTTTGACCCAGTGTTCACATAATATTTATCCAAGTGAGAAAACATTTATTTAAACTTTAATATGTTGAAGCAAATTAAATGTGTACACATCTTTATAAATTAATGTAGCAAAATATTACAGCAAATACAGGAGCTTAAAAAGTACTTGTCAAACAGCCTGCTTATGAGTTAAAACTTATACAGTGAGTTAAAATATTTAGACAATAGAGTAATTATTTTAGGCCATTTAGTGCCTTCTAATACATGGGAGCCATAACTGAATAAATATCTACAGTAGTGTGCTGAAAGTACAGATCTAACATGCAGGTAAAAAATTTCCTCCCCTTCAAAGTGTGGCTAAATTTTGTACATTCTGAGCTATTAAAGAAAATAGTTTTGTGAGTACAGTTAATAATATTTGCCTAATGCAAATATTACTACAAAAGTAAGCCCATTCCTTTTACAGTTTGATTTCCTGAAACTTTTTCTCTCAAAAAATAAGAGTATTATGTAGACAAAAAAAGTTTTTTGGGCTTAGAATCATATTATAGTGGTTCTTTCTCATCCATAAGAAGATATTCCTTTGAATCTGGGGGTTCCTGCAAAGGTACACTTGCCTGGGTGATGTCTATGTTTCTCTTTGTGGGCAACTCTGTTATTTCCTCAGTTATACACACAAAAAGAATAATTAGCTAAAACATGTTGATAACAACTAGATTTCACACATTAACATTTCTTCCATGAGCCATGAATAATGACATCAGTCCTCTTCGTACATCAAGAAGCTGTTCTTCTTGCTGTGGGCAAGAAAAAAATCAAGCTTCCATTATGGATTCTTTTTAAAACGACCCCTTACATAAGAATATTGGGCATCAGTGTTCATTCTACCCAGTACCCCAGGGTCTAAATCTAGATATCTACAGAATTCTGTGATCATCAATGATATTTGAGATGATCAACTGAGAAAAGACTACCAACCTTTTAAAACCCCAAATCAATGAAATTTAGATTTAGTTTTTAAAGGAAGATAGTAAAATAAAAGTAATCTAGAAAAAAATTTCAACAGATTAACTTAGGTAGCTTCTTGTTTGCCTCAAGCTAAACTAGCTTGGCCACAATATCCTGATCCCCTACTATTTCAGCATAGTGAAGTTCTATTAAAATATTATAAGTATATTAATATACCCTGTATACAAAGATCAGTGCTAAAGTGTATTTCGAAATGCCTTTCATCTTTAAGAAAACACCAAAGACATGTTCACTTAGAGCAGCAGTGCTATCAGTCCCCTCCCAGGTATACTTTTCCCCATAATGCAGCTACTGATCTACTAGGCCTTTGGAAAGTTAACTAATTCTGTCCCCAAATCTAAGTAAATGAAGTCTTGTCCAAGTGGACAATAATTCTTCTACAGCTTTTCTGGGTACTTTATCCTGCCATATCTTCTCCTTCAGAAGGCAGGGCACAACAGAGGCCTGCTGCAGTACACATTGTTTAGAAACAATGCAAATAAATCATTCTTCTAGCTAATTTTTCAACTTGCAAATTGATACTTTTTTTTTCCTTAGGAGGGACTCATTATGAAAATTAACCCTATTCTTTTACTATAAATTAAATAATGGGAGCATATTTAAAGAACTAAAAGTCGCTTGGGTAAACTGCCTCCCAAAAAGAAAAAGAAAGAAAAACCTATGAAAGAATTTCCCATTAAAAGACATGAAAGCATGATTTTTCCATTTGAAAAACCCAAACTTAGATAGTTGATTTACCATTTCCTTAAGAAGCCTGTCTTGCAGCACTTTCATGTTTTCTTTCATCAAACACATCTGTAAAATAAGTAAATATTTCCCTCATGAAATATATTCACTACAAAAAGACAAGTTAGACTAACCAATATCAAGAAAGATTACATATAAAATATAAAATTTATACCTCAGATGTAAAAATAGTTTCTTCATATTCGGTGTTAGAGAAGACATTTTTACCCAAAGAAATTTTCAAAAGATGAAGCCTAACAGGTAAAATAATGAGAGTTACCTTTGTATTTATCAGGAATTCAAATTAAATTGTTATAATATAGTATATATAATTTTAATTTTTCAAATAATATAAACTTATTACTAATTTAAAAATCTAATTTTATAGATTTTAGTCATAAGAATGTCATACTAACCTCTGCTGTTCACTTTTTTGATAAGCACTGAACTTCTGAAATATCTTTTCCCAAAAGTCCTATATTTTAAGATACAAAAATTAGTTATACTTTAAGATGTTTCAAAATTAAAACCTGACAGAATTACTATATTTCTGTTATTCCAGAAATCATACACTCTTTCAGATTAAAAAAAAATCAAAAGTAAATTTTATCAGGATTTCTCCCTTGTTACCAATGATATTCATCATAAACTTAAGTTTGTAATTTAAGTGTGTTTATATGAAGCTGACTAATAATCTGAGATAAAACTAAATTATGTTCTAAAGAACAAAAGCTTTAGATGTGCTATCAAAGCAGAAAGTAAATAAAAGTTTTTCTAAGTTTAGCTCTTTAAAAACAAAGTTTTACAATAATTTTTAAAAGCACACACCACAAATTCCTTCTCCAAATCTTTCAAAGACTGTGAATCTTTCTCAAAATTCTCCATCTCCTCTAGGATTATAAATTGGAATTCATCAAGCTTTTTAATCCTATTAAAGAATCAAAATGAGATTTTAAAAACTATAGCACTCAGAATATGTGAATATATAGCATTCAGAAGTTTTCAGAATATATTTTCATCACAAACCTATACTCCTGAATTTGATGGTTCATTGTTTTCAGATGCTGCTGAGCTGTTTTCCAAGACTGCTTAGTAAAATAATCCACCATTTTATGTCGGATCTGAAAAATACTCATTTTTAACTTTACAGAATAATAATCTGATCAAGACTATATTAAGAACAAAGCCTTTTCCATGAAATGTAAACAACTAGGAAGAATTTAGTAAACTAAGTAAAAAATTAAAAAATCAGTTATTTAAACCTAAGTGTTAGTAAATAAGTTCAGAGCAGTGTCTAATTCAATCAGTAAGGCTTTGACTAAAGGTTGATTTGCTAATTAATTAATTATAAGAACACCACACTGTACAGTATTTACAAAAATGCTAGTGATTATCTTCAAGAGCACGGCCTAAAAGTGACACTCAGAATTATTTTCTTATCATTTTTCACAAAAAATTCACATCTATATGTGAATCTATATTCACATCTAGCCACAGACACATAACAATATATAAATCATGGCTTCTCTATTTAGATTGATCTCGGTCAAAAAAAATCAAAATACAATAAATATACAGAACTTTAAATAATTTCATATTTTTCCTCTGAATAGAAGAAAAGGCAAGTAAGGACATAAAAGAACTGTCTACTCCAAATGTAGGTATGAGAGAGAGAGAGAGATGTATGGAAAAAACATTACCAATGATTAAAAGTTGTTTTAGAAAGCATTTTTGGGGCCGGCCCGGTGGCGCACTGCTACAGTGCGCCACTTGGGAGTGCGGCGGCACTCCCGCTGAGGGTTCGGATCCCACATACAGACTGGTTCCCGCTCACTGGCTGAGCGAGGTGCGGGCGCAACACCGAGGGTTGCGATCCCGTTGCCAGTCCCGGTCCGGTACGGGCGCGACACTGAGGGTTGCGATCCGTTGCCGGACACGAAAAAAGACAAAAAGGAAAAAAAAAAAAAGAAAGCATTTTTGCATACACCATCACATTGTAACCTCAAAAACTAAGGATACATAAATACGGAGCTGGGAGAACAAAGTGAAAGAGGATTTCTCTGACTGCTCTAACTATGATTATTATACTACTCTAACAATGATCTCTGTGAGATTTTTTTAAAGTCTAAAACAGATAAGGCATGAAAAAAATTTGTTTAGGAAAGTAAAAGAAAAATCATAAAAGAGCCAAAATGTTAAAATAAGACAAAAGAGAAAGAACTAGTAAGAAAGAAAGAATATTGGTTAATGCATATTTTAGAAGGGAAACTCAGCTCATGAGATGAGGTTTGTCTTTTTTCGTGTCCGGCAACGGATTGCAACCCTCAGTGTCGCGCCCGTACCGGACCGGGACCGGCAACGGGATCGCAACCCTCGGTGTTGCTCCCACACCTTGCTCAGCCAGTGAGCGGGAACCGGTCTGTATGTGGGATCCGAACCCTCGGCGGGAGCGCCACCGCGCTCCCAAGCGGCACACTGCAGCAGTGCGCCACCGGGCCGGCCCCTGAGATGAGGTTTTTAACCTAATAATTATTCCAATTTTTCACATGAGGAAAGTTGGGTTCACGAACGGGTGTTTATTGCCAAAGGATTAAACAAACCAACAGTCTAGTAGAAAGTGTGGCACACAATTATATTACTTGTATAAATCATAATTTAAACAATGATAACTCACATTAATTTTCCTCTGCAATTCTGAATTGAGCTTCTCACCAATCACTACACTTGAAATTTCACTGTCCCACTTCTCCACAGGAATAGAAAAATCATTTGTTGACAATGGAGATATACTTTCAGACACTAAAAAATGAAGACAATCAGCTAAAGTTAAAATAGGCATTATTATAAATTTAGCCTTGTCATTAGATGGAGAACAAAATCTATCTCATTTTTAGATTCTGTGTGTTATCTAAAGGTTATGAATTCAAAGGCAGCCGTCATTTACTTTTTTTTTTTTTAATTTAAAACCGAGATTAATCTGATTTATAAAAAACCCTTTGGGATGACTATTAAAGCAGAAATGGCAATTTTAAAATGGAGCATTAAAAAAAATTAAAAAATAAAATGGAACATTTTTGGATTATTTTCTGACTACTTCCATGTTGTTATTAACACAAGGTGACACACTAACGCATCAATAAGATCATAGTCTAGTAAAACTTAAATGTGGTAATAAGTGATAGAATGATGAAAATGATCTATGCCTCTTACTACATTACTCATATAAAGTGAACTTTGTGATAAAGCATCATCTGTCTAGGTCTTATCCAAAGTTGTCTTTAAAAAGGAATTTGTTTTCTGAATGGAATCATTCAAATTCTAAGAAGCCACCTTCCAAATAACTGCATTTTCACACAGGATTGTTTTTTTTTTTTTTTAGGTGTTCAATAAATGTTCATTGAATATTGATTATACAGTGAAATCCTTGAATATAGAGACTGGGTCATGGTAATTTCACTTTTAGCAATGCCTGACACAATGCCTTTCCTAGCACATTTACTCAGGAATTTTTTAAAAACATAAATGAATAAACTTCTACAGAAGGTACTGAGAAATGCTACCCTCCCCCGGTTTACTAGAGATTGAAGGATTCTTAAACAGAATCAGAGTTTTCATTTAAAAGGATAACACAGGATTTTGATCTACCTACTTTTGAAGGTGTGATGATCCGCATCTTTGGTTTTACACAGTTTTTTGGGAAGCAAGTTTGCTCTCCTTTCTTCTTCCTTTTGTATTTCTACTTCATCGGAATTACTTAGATTATCTTCTATGTACATTCGTTTGCGACTAACACGTTCAATGTGGCCTTTGGAACAGTTAAAAATTAATTAATAATGCTTCAATTTTGAGCAAAAATACCTAATATTTTCTTGGTCTTATAAAAAGAAAGCTTTTATTTTAGTTAATTGTTTGCATTATGTTGTAGGCAACTGTGCAAATTCTACCTAGTTTACTTATTTTCTTTTCCAAAAATTATCATGAGTAACAGTTTATATGACTGTCTATATAGAAAATCCAAGAAAATCTAGGCAGACAATTAATTCATCAAGGTGTTAGAGATATAAAAATCAACAGTTTCTTCAATATAAAAATAAAAAAACAAAAATTATCATGAGTAACAGTTTATATGACTGTCTATATAGAAAATCCAAGAAAATCTAGGCAGACAGTTAATTCATCAAGGTGTTAGAGATATAAAAATCAACAGTTTCTTCAATATAAAAATAAAAAATAATAAACCCAGAAAATGTTATTTTAGAAAAATATTTTTATGACAATAGCTTAGGGAAGGATTCCTTGAACAACCCAAAAGTTTGGTAAATTTTATTACATGATATCTTTTGTCATATGAAAGTATTGGATTTTACTAAGTGAAAAGATAAGACACATACTAGAAAAAGAATGTTCACATTGCATATAAATGATAATTAATATCCAGACTATTAATAACTACTACAAATTTATAAGAAAAACCAAGCAATGCAATTAAAAAATCAGAAAGCATAAACAGGCAATTCATAAAATGGCCAAAAACAAATGAAAATATTTCTTGATGCAGTTAATCAAGAAAATGCAAATTAAAGTAAGACACGACTTTACACTTACCAGATTGGTAAAAACAGACACATCTGGTAACACCCAGTTAGTTAAAACTGTAGAGAAATGGGCACTATCACATAGCACTATTGAGAGTATAAGCTGGTACAACTACAGGTTCAGTATTCCTTATGTGAAATGCTTGAGACCAGAAGTGTTTTGGATTTCGGAATATTTGCATAATACTTAACTGGCTGAACATCCCTAATTTGAAAACCTGAAATGGTCCAGTGAGCATTTCCTTTGAGCGTCATGTTGACACTCAAAAAGTTTCTAATTTTGGAGTTATTTTGAATTCCAGATATTGGATTAGGGATGCTCAATCTGTACTTTATGAAGCAAATTCCCAACACTTTATTAAGAGTCAACAGTAAATGGGCCCAAAAATGTCTCATGAGTCCATCTGATGACTATGTAACAGATCAAAACTCCATCTAGCACAAAGTAGCATCAAAGAAGATGCGTGGAAATTACTAGGTTTGGAGATTTGCAGGGTGGTATACTGAAGGGATTAAAGGATGCAGGGAAACTAAGGACGATAGAGCAATATTGACAAAGGACCACAGGATGACAGTCTACTGGGAAACTGATTTTGAAATTGTGGTCTGTAGAAACCGAGAGTCTTGCAAACGTGCCTTAGTAGTTATTTGGAGAGGGAGGCTAGGTAGGCTAGGGTTTGGACCTCCTACCTCTGCTAGACAGCAGAGTTCCACTTTTATCTGTTTCACATGCAATAGTCCCCCCTTATCCATAGTTTCCTTTTCTGTGGTTTCATTTACCCAGGTCAACCACAGTCCAAAAATATTAAGTGGAAAATTTCAGATATAAACAATCCATTAGTTTTAAATTACAAGCCATTGTGAGTAGCATGGTAAAAGTCACACCACCCCTCTCCATCCCCCGCCCCAAAGAATTATCCCTTTGTCCAGAGTATCTACGCTGTATATACTACCTACCCATTAGTCACTTAGTAGCCATCTCAGTTATCAGATTGACTGTGGCAGTATTGCAGTGCTTGTGTTCAAGTAACCCTTATTTTACTTAATAATGGCCCCAAAGCACTAGAGTAGTGATGCTGGCCATTGAGATATGCTAAAGAGAAGCGATAAATAGCCTCCTTTAAGTGAAAAGTTCTTGACTTAATAAGGAAAAAAAATTGTATGCTGAGTTGCTAAGATCTATAGTAAGAATGAATCTTCTGTAAAACTGTGAAGAAAGAAAAATATTTGTGCTAGTTTTGTTCACTCCTCAAACTGCATAAGTTATGGCTATAGTGAGTGGCAAATGCTTAAGATGGAAAAGGCATTAAATTTGTGGATGGAAGTCATAAATAGAAACATGTTCCAACTGACAGCAATCGGGTTCGGTACTCTCCTTGGTTTTTGACATCCACTGGGGGTCTTGGAATGATGTATCCCCTGCAGATAAGGGGGGACTACTGTATTTTATTAAGAAGAAATGGTACATACAACTTGATACATAAAAGAGGAAGAATAAAGAATTTCTTTTCAATATATCATATTAAATTTTTATACCCATACTATTTACCTATTAGTTTTAAAAACTTCCTTATAAAAACAGAAGCAAATACTATGTTGTACTGTTTTCAACTACATTCTTGTCAGTTTACTTTGTCAACTTGCGATTTTAGTAACTAAAGATTATTAAAGATTACAGACTTTGAATTACAGTAAAATTTGAAAGAGGTGCCTGTGTTGCAGGAATACATCTATTCAAATCTAGAAAATGTATGTAGTTTTGAAATGTAAACAAATAAGTAGCACCTCTTAGAAAGCAATCATTCCTATCACAGAACTCTAATCTTACTCTATATTCTCATGTGAACACATTCTTCCTCCCATATAGCTTACACATGAGTCTGTTAGGTTTGCTGAGACTGGGAACTCTTACTTGTCATTATGTCCCTCTCTCTGCAGCCCCCCGACCAAACCCAAAACCTTACGTAGACAAGCAAAGCGTATTTGATTAAGATTAGAGAGAAATGATTTACCACCTTCAGATATATCTGATGAAGGAAAAATATATATACATTCTTACCCAAAAGAGTGGTTGTGGAGTTGGTGAGCAACTGTCACCTGCACACAGTAAGTTCTCATTATTTTGGGGTGACTTTATTGGACCTCCAACTCCATTGCTACTGTTTAAGGATTCAGGTGATGAAGTTTTTGCATTAGGTGATATAGATTTTGTTACATTGTCATCATCTTGAGTAAAATCCCTTTCTGTTATTTTCTCTACACCTATATTGCCCCACAAAACACAAACAAAAAAAGAGATGTCAGTTGTTATCATTGAGGTCTGCTTTAGAAATAGCATGATTAGTTTAAATTCCAAGAATATAATAACGTATCAAGTCCTCAAATCTTAGCTGTATTTAAAAAGGATAAAACTTTCAATAAATTAAGATCAAATTATGTTTAAAATATTTTCTAAGACTTTGAAAATAATGACTAAATTTGAAATGTAAATGTAACCATAAGAACTTTCAAAACAATTTCAAACAAAAATATCTACAGTATGAGCTGAAATATAATGATCAACCTAAGTATTATCTTGAGTATTTTGACATCATATACAATATCATTATATATTAAAGTCACAGAATTTTATGATTAGAAAAGACATGGGAAATCATCCAGTCTAAATCCTTCACATAAAAATCAGGAAATTCATTGCTGAAATTAGACTTAGTATAAATGAATTCTCAGACACTTTTCAGAACAAATCAAGCCATGTACATCTGTCTTCTGAGTATGTTCTTATCTGAAATGATAGTCGACCTGAGCATTATGAAAACAAAAACAACAGTAGCTACTTTAAAGGAGGCATAAGTATATTAACTGATTTAAGTGTTGAATTTTAAGTGAAATGATTATTAACATTTAGAAATGCTTTAAAATATCCTTACTAGGAACTTAAAACAATATAAAAAGTGCAAGCTTATTTTTATAGTTCCAGTGCTAGATAGGCATACTATATACCAGAACTCCAGAGAATATGAATTTTTCACTACCAATTATTTTTAAATAAAAGCAAAACCTCAATTGTTTATGAAGATAATCCAGTATGGGTCCACAGAAGGATCATATTTCTTGGACTTCTGTCCATAAAATGTAAATAGGAAAAATTAAATCTCCATAATTCTTATGTTATTAATATATTTTGAGCTAAAAGCATTAAAATTAAGCACTTATTTGAGCTTTCACATTATAGTTTGTAAATATATATTAAATATTTTCCATATTGAAGCATTTGATCATTAACTTTCTAACATGAAGAACTTCAGTATCCTAGTAACACTATTCCCAAGTTAGCAAAAACCAAGTTACTAGCATTAACTGTTTAAAAACCAAAGTTTTAGCTACCTATAATCTTAAAAACACCCCTTAAAATTAAGTCTTCAAATTATATTTTCACAATATTAGAGTTATAGTAGAAAATTGTTGAATATTAAAATCAAGGAAAAATAAAATGATACTGACATCTCATTACTTCTATAGATGATGGACTGCCAGATAAAGACACAGGAGATACATCAAGGCTATTAACTCTTATAGTATTTTTTAGTAGAGGTGAGTTTTTCCGTTCTTTTGATAGTTCCTTTGGTGTTTCAGTACAGGAGACTTTCTTTTGTTTTTTTGGCAGCTTTATGGTTGCGGTTCTTGAATGAATATTCTCCTCCTAGATGTATTGATAACTTTCAAATTATACTCGAATACAAATATTTACACTTAATAAAACAATTAAATTATATTAAAATACTTATTAAATGTCTTATATTTATCTTATACATACAGGCATAAGGGCCTACACATGAGTAGTAAGAAAGACTTTCTCATATGCTGGAAGATATAATACAAATTCACAGGAAAATACATAGACTATATAGTAAATGTCATAAGAGAAAAATAAAATGCTATAAGATTTCAAAGAAGAAGTTATATCTAGTTTAGGGAAAACAAAGAATTGCTAGATTTCATGGTACATGAGGTACTGATACTTCTTTGTGAAAGAAGGTGGTGAGGGGAAGATGTGCTGGGAATAAAGACTGCTGACAAGAGCAAAAGGAGTTTAGAAGCATAGGTCTTATTTAGGAATCACAGGTTTTACTATTTAACCATTACAGAGATGGGTATACAAGGGTACTTCAAAAAGTTCATGGAAAGACTCATGTTATCTTTTAATTTTTTTTCCCACAAACTTACTGAGGCACCCTTGTATACTGAAGAAGAGTGGAAATAAGTTTGGAAAGGAATTTTGATGCTTTGAATATCTGACAAGAGAGAGATTTTCAGGATTTTTCTTTGAAGAAGGATAGGATGAGAAGTGGCTTGGGAAGATTTATCTTACTATATGTATGGTAAACTAAAGTAAGAAATGATAGAAAATGAGGAGATAAGTTACAAAGTCTTTCAGGTAAGAGATAACAAGGTTACAGACAAGGAGAGATGGAAATTTAATGACTTAATATCAGCATAGTGTAGTGATCAGAGACCTATTTTAGTGCCAGACTCCTTGGGTTTAAATCCTAGCTAAATTATGTCCTCTCTGTGTGACCTAGGAAATGTTCCTTCTTCTCTCTGAGCCTCAATTTTCTCATTTGTAAAATAGGATAACAGTAATGGAACTAATTACCTGTAGTACTTATGAGATTTAATGAACTTAAATCTATAAACTCCTTAAAATAGCAGCTGGCACATTGTAAGCACTGTATATGCTCATGTATACATATATATATTTTTACTTCATTAAAAAAGCTTTCAAGCACAGGTGGCTGGGAATATGTTTGAACATTATGAGACAAGAAGTTAGGGATGGGCACAGGTGGGACAGTGTATGGGAAGAACCTCAGATGCCAATTTCTTTGCTTTCGTTCAAGAGAAAGATCCACAGCTTACCAATAGGCTATACTTTATTGAAATATAATTTTGGAAAGATCACGTAGTACTCTATTTGAAAGATATAATCTTTTAGTTTTACTAGAGTTCAAGAGAAAGATCCACAGCTTACCAATAGGCTATACTTTATTGAAACATAATTTTGGAAAGATCACGTAGTACTCTATTTGAAAGATATAATCTTTTAGTTTTACTAGAGTCAGACATCTGCTTTGGAACACTAATGCCAACTTACTACAAAATTTACCATTATATTGCCTTAGGACCAATTTGTAGAATTATTATATAAGTTTTCTCATATCGAAGGTTAAATCTTAAAAAGAAGTGACAAGATAAATTTGACATTTTTCCAAAAAAATATATATTTAGTATTTTAAGAAGCTTTTAAAAATTATTAATTTAAATTATATCTATTTACCTTTACTAGCAATTCCTCTTTAAATGAATGTGAAAATTCTTTTTCACTCTCTGATTCTGAGTTTGAGAGATCCTTATAGTTTTTTTTAGTTTTTGCTGCTCTTCGTGGAAGTCTGGTTCTCCTATCTGGAACTGCCTCGTCTACCTTTTTGGTGATGTTTTTACTAGATGTCTTTAGGAGAAAAATTCCTGAATATTATTAGATCGATATTTGAGAAAGAAGAAATACAAACTATTTGCAATAAAATTGGCACTGTGACAAGACATACATAAAACATTTGTATGAATAAAATGATTCCAGATTAATATTTTAAAAATGACTGGATTTTATCTTCCCATTCCAATTATCCTATTTACCACTTTTTTATCCCTACCATTAAATCTCTGAGATGCCTGATATATATTATCTAATTTAAGTAACAGAGATCAAAAATACCTAAAACCACAGACTCAAAACAAGGCCAACATGATTCAAAAAAACAGAAGGCAGAAGAAAATATGCAAAAGGCAGGAACAATTATAGAAACAAGTAACTGATAACAAGAATAAAATTGAGATGACAAATGAATTACTTTTATATGACAAGAAAGAATAATTTTAAAGAGACATTTGAACACAAACTTCTTGGTTTACCATTTTAGATCTTGGTTGTCCCTTTTTCAAGGATGGTCCTGCAATTCAGGAAAATAAGGCTAAATTTTTCTAATAAATAATAATTGGCATTAAATTTATTAGAACATTTCTGTATATATAAATTAAAAATCATGAAAATAAACACTTTTTTTTGAGAAGCATTTGTTAGCATTTAATGAACCTTCCTCTATGTGAATTCAAGCTACCAGGATGCAGGTCCCCCACAAACCCTAATGTTCTTCTTAGCTCTTCTAATGAATTATTTGGCCTTCACTATGACAGGCTGCTTTGGGGGTTTTCCCTTCCCCCAAAACTTTGTAGTAGCCTACATCACTGATGGGAAAGAATATATCTTTAAACTCATTCAAAAATTTAAATTTCAAGAATTGATAACTCCTAATCTATAGTGTTTGTTATGATATGAATTGCCAATTTCCTTTCTCTTCCTCTTATACCATAAAACTTTTTAAACATTTAAGAATAAACACAAGTTATAAAGTTAACACCCATAAATCTACCACTCAATTTAAGAACTAGATTACGAAAAATGCTGAATCTACTTGTGTATGCTGTCTTATACCATCCTCCATATCCCCTTTGCTAAAAGATAATCACTATCCTGAAATCTGTGTTTCTCATTCACTTGCTTTAAAAAAAAAGTTTTACTTCACAGATATGTATCTCTAAACACTGTAATGAGCTTTATAAAATAATATCATATCCTATGTAATATTCTATGATTTATTTTCCATACATCTTATGTTTCTAAGATTTATCTGTATGATTGATAGTAGCTTTAGTCCCTCTTCCCTTTTTGCCTTTCAAGCACAATGTCATCTTTCTAAATATTCTCTGAAGCCTAAGAAATGAGATTATCCAAGCCAAGGAAGCAAAACTTTTTTGGAAGAAAGATCCTATAATCCTGGCAATAAGCCAGCATATTAGCTTGTAGCCATTCAACTATTTAGACAAAATAATTCACAAAGAAGTCCAATTTTTTAAGTATTTACTGGTTCCAGTATTCTAAACTCTAATGTCTCCCCAAGATCTCTAATCTACTTTATGCTATAAATGTCTTTATTTGTATATCTTCCAGCTAGACTGTAAGACTCCTGAGGGCATGTGAAGCTTATCATGTTTCTCCTTGGCATACACTGCTTCAAGATTCCATGACCAGATCCAGCCTCACCTTTTACCATTTTACTACAAATATGATCTATGTTCCAACTACCTCAATACTGCATTCCCTGAATACACTATGCTATTTGATACTTCTGTCCCTTTTATATATGATAATCCTGTTGCTTTTCTTCCTCATGCATTTGGTTGGTCTCTCACCTGTTTTCAATATTCAGCATCATTTCTAAACATAGGCCAAAATTCACTTTTTACCTCTTTTTAAGCTATCACCACCCCTCCCCAACAGGTCACTAACTGGTTATTTTTAATCATGAAATAAAATAAAAGCTGATAAATACATTTAATTGAAAAGTATAGTTATCTTAGGTCTCCTTTTTAAAAACAGAATATATAAAATCTTTGTGTTTTAGCAAACACTGAAATTGATGTTCAGCTATGAAAGTATCTCTAGCCAAAACCCGTACCTCTAAATCTTATCCAACTACTTCAGAAGATTCAGTATCACAGAGAAAAAAGCAGAAATCACGTTCCGACACGTGCAAAAAACATTTCAAGAAAATTGTTTTCCTTCTGATATATTTTTATTGCATCTATATGAATTCCTAAAAAGTATGCACGTTGGGTGCAGCACGGAGATAGGATGTTGAGAAGTGAAAATATATGTATATATATAAATATGTAAATAAATGTAAATAGATATAGGTTAGTGTCAAAGTGCAAGTTTTGGTTTTGTTTAAGGGTGTTGAGTTCATGAATACTTAATACATTACTCACAGTAACTAATTCACTAAATAACTAATAATAGTGGGCCATGAATAGAAAAGTGATGACAGTATGTCATGAAGCAAGGATTATGATAAATAATATTTTGTGTCCCTAAGTTCCTATTAAAAAAGAGAAAAGTAATTTAAATATAACTATATTACAAAATAATTTTTAAAAAACCACTGTAAGTTTTGTCGTATTCATAAGGGTATATAGTAGTTAAAAACCGTGTACATAGAAAAATACACTTTTCAACCAATAATGCATTTTATTATATCATTAAAATGGTAAATCATTTGCAACATTTCTATAAAAAATAATTTCTTACTTGATCTCCCACTTTTATGTTTCTTCCCATTTTTATTTCTACTATAGTCTATTAGCTGTGGTTTTGATTTTGGTTCTTTTAGCCAGCTAATATCAGTCTTGCTGTCGTCACATCTGTTTTCTGTTTCAGTATCACTAAAGAGATTTTTCTTTTTATGATTTGTTATAATCTATATAAAAAAAAAAGAAATCCTTGAAATAGATGAAGAAATATGTCTTCTTATATGCCATGCAAGGTGAGTTAAGCCCCACAAAATCCCGATGAACATGAAAACTAACTTCTAATTTTTTAACATACTAATCCATATGGCATTAAGGACCTAACCAAGAAAATCACTCAGAAATCCAAATCAGATAGTGAGATTTGTATTTTGGTATTGGTGTTGTTAATTAAAAGTTAAATCAGAACAGCTTACTTCCAAAGAGATATAATTTAATACTGTCAAAGAAAGTAACTGAAGTTGTCATGTCTATTATTGTTAAATGATTACAAATAGCTCAAAGACCATAAAAAAAAAAGTCATAATGGGAACATAATCTCATCGAAGAATAAAAAAATCAAAATATTTTTGTTTTCCAGTTCTTTAATAACCTTTGGCATTAAAAAATTAAAAGAAATACTGTTTTTAATAGACACATTAGGATATTATAACTTACTCTTTTATCTTTTGTTTTGAGAGAAGGTTCAAGTTCATCATGATTCTGCAAACCTACCCTTAAACAAAAATATGCATTAATTTTAAAATACCATTCATATTTTTTTTTCTTAAGGTAGCATGCACTGAACAATTAGACCTGTGTTTTCAGCCTTAACTCTTTCATTAATTAACTATATAATTCTGGCTAGGTCACCTATCCTCTCTGACCTCAGTTAATTATAAAATAATGAGGTTAGATTAAAGGACTACTAAGCCTATTCAGCTTTATGATCTAAGATATAAAACTAATATTTAAAGTGCAGAGAAATCGCATATTAATTTTAAAAGTAAATGCTGAAGTTAAAGAATCACAGTGGGAGTAATCAGGACAGTACTTCACTCTTCTCATATGTTAACAACTCTTAAAGACAGATTGGGAGGAGATATTTAAGAGAGGAAAAAAAGATGGAGATATGTGTATTTTAATCTGACCTATCTAATTATAATAAAACACATACAATTTAATTGAATTATCCACGTAGGCTTCTTTAGCTGTAGTTTGAAATTCTTGGATCTGTATTGTAAATAAACATTTAAAAAACAAAAAAGGGTTCTTAGTGTTAAAATAAGGCAATCAAAAATGAAAAGAAATAAACATAAAATCTAGTTTCTCTCACTTCATAGAATCAAAAGATTTGACAATAAGTTTACTATAATATTTTTATTTAAGAAAAAAGCTAATATAATAAAATATACTAAAAACAAAATAAGAGTATTTGTTTTAAGTTTATTGCAAAATCTAGTTTCTCTCACTTCATAGAATCAAAAGATTTGACAATAAGTTTACTATAATATTTTTATTTAAGAAGAAAGCTAATATAATAAAATATACTAAAAACAAAATAAGAGTATTTGTTTTAAGTTTATTGCATCAATAAGCAAAGTGATTTTGTTGTTACAGTAGTCTAAGTCCTCCCACCCCCCAATTACTTATTTTTCTCTTATTCCAAAAGATTTGAAAAAAACTAAATATACCTAGAATGGTTATCTAAATAAATCATTATATTTAAAAATGTTTTTAAAGTATATCAGTAAGAACATGCACATTAAAAATCATACATTCTAACAAATTCATGGTAAATACAAAATAACTTGATTTCTAGCTTACTCCAAGTTTTATAGTAGGTTCATCAGCTCCATTCAAATTAAAATTGTAAACATCATTCCTGTGAAAATGAAGAGAAATATTTACTCCATTGTACAATAAATACATTTAGTCTCTTCAAATATAAAGAAAAGAAAAAGATTTACAAGAATACTACTTACAATGGGCATTCAGAAGTAACATTAACAAAAGTAGTCTTCAGTTTTCTATAACTTTTTTTCTGAACCTTTTCCTAAATATAAAAACAGATTTACATAAAACCATTCAAACCTGTACATTACTAAAGTTGGCAAACATAATACATGCAATGAAATTGTCATGTATTTTCCAGTTTTGCTTCCTCTAATATAAATCTGGCATTTGTAACATTTTCCATAATGTAAATTCAATAAAAATATACCCAAAAGAAAGGAAATCAGCACCTAGTAAATATATCTGCACTCCCACGATCACTACAGCATTATTCACGATAACCAAGAAACAACCTAAGTGTTCATCAACAAATGAATGGATAAGGAAATTGTGAGATACGCATGTAAACACACACAATAGAGTATATAATGCAGCCTTAAAAATAGTAGATCCTGCCATTTGCCACAACATGGATGAACCTGGAGGATATTATGCTAAATAAAATAAGCCAGACACAGGGAAAAAAAGAAACCTATCTGATTTCACTTATGTGTGGAATCAAAAAAAAAAAAAAAAAGTCAAATACATAGATATAGAGAATAAAACTGGCTACCAGAGCAGGGCGGGGGGCAGGGAGAGGAAATGGGAATATACAGGTCAAAGAATTCAAGGTCGCAGATATGTAGGTTGAATAAGTCTAAAGATCTAATGCAGAGCATGAAGATTACAGTTAATAATATTGTACAGTAGTCAGGATACTTGCTAAGAGAGTAGATTTTTAGGTGCTTTTGCCACACACACACAAAAAGGCATCTATGTGACATGATGGATATGTTAATTTGCATTACTACTGTAATCACTTGGCTGTGTATACCATGTTATACACTTTAAATATGTATAATAAAAAATTAAACATCCATACTTTAAAAAATATTGAAGACATACTTAAAATATATTATAAATCTAATGTAAAATATAAAATCCTTATATCCTTAATATTTACTGACATTGTTGCACATAGATAAATGCCTTCTCATTAGTATTCTACAGGCTAAATTTTAGTGATTCTAGAATCACAAAACAAGTATGCTTCCACTTTGATTCTTGTTTGCTTTAAACTCTTTTTTTTTTTTCCCTTTTTGTCTTTTTTCATGTCTGGCAACGGATCGCAACCCTCAGTGTCGCGCCCGTACCGGACCAGGACCGGCAACGGGATCGCAACCCTCGGGGTTGCGCCCGCACCTCGCTCCACCAGTGAGCGGGAACCGGTCTGTATGTGGGATCCGAACCCCCGGTGGGAGCGCCACCGCGCTCCCAAGCGGCGCACTGTAGCAGTGCGCCACCGGGCCGGCCCGTGCTTTAAACTCTTAAACAGAAAACTTCAGGAGAGCCTAAGGTTTATGTAAAATAGTCAAAAAAGTATCAGTTAACTAGTATTGTTAGGGAAAAATAAGTGTAAAATTATTCATATAGCCTACAGCTCTAAATATACTCAACCACGTCACACAGTAGTAAGGGCAAAAAAAAAGAAATAAAATAAAATTTAATAAACTATCACTTTATTAAAGAAATTTAACTATGATTAAATATACAAATAATTATTATCACTAAATAATTGATTACTAATCAGAAATAATCAGAAGACTAATTTAATATCCAGTAAGTTAGAAATATTAGGTTTAAAGTATTCGTTTTAATTTGTGATTCATCTTCAATTTAATTATTGCTTTTGGCTATTTTACATAGAAATATTTGCATTATTCCCAAAAGTTTATCCCACATTATATTACTCCTCTAATCACTTATCCGACTTATCCTCTCTAGTATGATTTTTGCCAGTCTTTAGATACATATGTTCATTCATCTTTTGCATGCCAGTGTATGCTAGGTATTACAGAATATATAAAAATAAGGGCCGGCCCGGTGGCGCACTGGATAGTGCGCCGCTTGGGAAGCGCGGCGGTGCTCCCGTCCGAGGGTTCGCATCCCACATGCGGACCGGTTCCCGCTCACTGGCTGAGCGGGGGCAGGAGCAACACCGAGGGTTGCAATCCCGTTGCCGGTCCCCGGTCGGGTCTGGGGGCAACACTGAGGGTTGCGATCCGTTGCCGGACACAGAAAAAAGACAAAAGACAAAAAAAAAAATAAGCAAAGATATTAAAGGGGAGATGCAAAAGTAAGCAAAGGTGTCACAGAAGATACAAAGATGATTCAAAGTAGTTACACTCTAGTAAAAGAAGAAAAAGAAACAAAACCTGCAATAATGAATGAAATATCAAAAGAAAGTTACAAAAAAAATTATTGCGTAGATTTAGAATTCTTGCCAAACTGGGTTTTTTGAGTCACGGTACTTTGAAAAGTTTGCTTTTTTAAAAAAAATAAAAAGATAACCAGTAAGGGGATCTTAACCCCTGATATGGTGGTGTCAACATCACGCTTTCCCAAGTGAGCTAACCGGCCATCCCTATATAGGGATCTGAACCCGTGGCCTTGGTGTTATCAGCACCACATTCTCCCAAGTGAGCCACAGGCCGGCCCTTGAAAAGCTTTCACAAAGAAGGTAGACTCTGAAGCAAGGCTTGCAAGGAGGAATAAGATTTTTGATAATCAGAAAAGACTGTAGGAGAGCCTACTGACTTAGCTCTAAGTTCTTTCCAAAGGGGAAAGTAAAAGTATAAACAAATACTTAGGAAAGACACTTCAGGGAATCTCAAATTATCATGTTTCAGCTAAACAAAACCTGTCTAGAGAACTAATATTAAGAAATAAGAGAGTCTTTTAAAGAGACTAATGAGTCACTCTGTGTCTTCATCTAATTCAATAAAAAGCAGGAACCAAAAAAGTTTTCTGAACAAGCAAATGAGGGATTGAAGCTTTGTGCTTTGGAAACAAAAAAAGCTGGTATTGAATGTAATGAATGGATTAGCACCAAGAACTACTACAAACAAAGAGAATTACATAAAGGATATTGTAACAATCCAAGGATTGAAAATTAGAACTGAAAGGATAATAGGATAATAGGAGTTGGCAGAAACAGGGGAGAGAAGATTTAAGAGGGTGAGTCTCAAAACTTGATAAATTAAGTAGAAATAGAAAGTAACTGTGAGGAATAAATCAAAGATAATTGATATTTTAAGCCTGCATGAATAGTAAATGTTTTAACAAAATTGGGACTTCAGAAGAATCGGATTGTCAGAAGAGATGGAAACAGCTAGGGAAAAGAAAAAAGAAAAAAAAAAAAGGTGATAAGGACATATTGAATCATGTACTGAAAAATAAAAGTACTGTGCTCATATATGTAAAAGGAGCATTTTCTTTGAAAAATAGAACAGAAGGTTAGGGGGCTATTTTGAGTACTTGCCACTAAACTTCTGAGTTTTTATAGTCCATGTAGCAATATTCTGAAAACATTAAATCTAATTCCATCTTACTACTATTCTACAAGTATTTTAGTGCTTATAGTCAAATATCATTGAGTTTGTAAATAAATGACACCTACCTTACTAAGCTGTACATCAGATTTGTTTGGAAAGCCACTATAAAAAAGATTTTGTCAAAATTTAAAAAGCAATTAAGCATCAGTAGAATATTTTTCATAAAAGCCATCTTATATAAGTTAAAACATATTTGGGTCACTAAATCTAAATTCAATATGCTATAAATAACCAAAATGTGACAATACTAGTCAGTCTGATAATTTTGCAACTTCACACATAGTAAATAGCACCTATAATAGTTAATTCTAAGCTGAATCATTAATGCAGCAGGAAGTGCCAAATAACTGAAAATAAATGTTCTGCCATGAGAGTCATTTTTTCATGCCATATAATTAGGCCAGAATTTAAACGAATTAACAACCTGACAACCTATCAATGGACACTTTGTAATAATAGAATTAACTTTCAGAAAGATTGCAAACAAGGAATGTATTATTTACTATATACAGACAACTCATTTCAGCTCATTTAAACTTTGTATTTCATTAAATGGTGTATTTAAATATATTTAGCTGTATTCATTACTAGATTCAATAAATATAATTCTAAAATGTCTATATCCTAGATTTATTTCTGAAATGCTATTATACTGTTATTGACATGATGTTTTTTTATTCTTTATAAAATGTATCCAGGCTCTAGAATGACAAATTTCAATTTTTGTTCCCTTCCTATATAATTTAATCAGCTACTATTTATGAAAGTAATAAGTAGCCATGTTTTCTACTGGAAAGTTACATTATTTGAATACATGTTTTAAACTAACCTTTCTTAAACTGTGTAAAATAATTGTATCTGTCAGGAAAATATTCATGTCTAAAATTTAAGAACATACCTATCAATCCAAGAGTCCTTTAATTTTCTTGTAGACTTTATGTTATCTTTTGGTTTGTATCTCTTATTAATTTGCCTTATCAAAGATTGTGCTGCATCAGTAAATCCCTTCTCTTTGGACTCTTCTCTCTGAAATTATTTATAAGTTACTTTAAAACTCTACAGTTAACTTTCAAAGGAAAATAAAGAAAAGAAAGCCTAAGAAAAATCTGGTTTTATTTACACCTACAAGAAGAAAAAAAGGAGTCAGAAATTATTCTCAAAAGTTTGAGCCTTGTTAGGCATTAAAACAACTCAGGATAAGTCTTTTAACATACAGAACTGTTCAGAGTGCTCTGTAGAAAAAAATTTTTTAAAGATTCTACCGATGAGAATAAATTTTAAAAAATAGAAAAAAAGCCTGTTCTTTGAAAAGATCAATAAAATTGATAAATCTCTAGATAGCTTAATTAAGGGGAAAAAAAGAAAGAAAAGACATAAATTACTAATATCAGAAATGAAAGATGGACCATCACTGCAGAACACATGGACATTAAAATGATAATGCAGGAAAATTATGAAATCCATGCCCCCAAATTTGATAACCTAGATGAAATGGACCAATTCCTTGAAAGACACAGTCTACCAAAACTCATGCAAGGAGAAACAGTTCATCTGAATAGGCTTATCTCTATTAAAGGAATTTTATCAATAATTAATAGTCTTCCAAAACAAAAAGCACCAGTCCCAGATGAGTTCACTGGCAAATTCAACATTTAAGAAAGAAATTATCCCAATTCTCCATGATCTTCTAGAAGACAGAAGCAGATAAAATCACCCTGACTCCAAAACCAAAGACATTACAAAAAACGGAAAACTACAAACCAATCTCATAGACACAGATGCAAAAATCCTCAACAAAATAATTAGCAAACTGCATACAACAATGTATAAAAAGAATTATGTACCATGACCAAGTGGAATTTATTCCAGGTATGCAAGGCTGATTCAACATTTGTAAATCAATTAATGTAATCCATCATATCAACAGGCTAAAGAAGAAAACTTCGCAGAAGAAATCAATAAATGCACAATAAGCATTTGACAAAACCCAACATCCATTCATGATAAAAACTCTCAGCAAACTAGGAAGAGGGAAACTTTCTCAACTTGACACAAAAACTTACAACTAACATGACACTCAATGGTGAGAAACTATTAACTTTCCTGCTAAGATCAGAAACAAGGTAAGGATATCTCTTCTCATTACTCCTTTTCAACATTGTACAGGAAGTCCTAATTAATGCAATAAGACAGGAAAAGGAAATAAAGGGTATATAGATTGGGAAGGAAAAAAATAAAACTGTCTGTGTTCATGGATGACCTCACTGTCTATGTAGATAATCCCAAAGAATTAGCAAAACAAAAAACTGCTGGAACTAATAAGCAATTATAGCAAGGTTTCAAGATACAAGGTTAATATAAAAAGTCAATTGTTTGATTTCTTATAAACCAGCAATGAACAAGTGGACTATTTAAAATTAAAAACACAATTTTACATTAGCACTCCCCCAAATGAAATACTTACATGTAAATCTAACAAAACATGTGCATGAGGAAAACTATATAACTGATGAAAGAAATCAAGAGATCTAAATAAAAAGATATTCCATGTACATAGAAAGTTCAATATTGTCAAGATGTCAGTTCTTCTCAACTTGATCTATAGATTTAATGCCATCCCAATCAAAATCCCAGAAATCTATTTTGTAGATATCAACAAACTGATTCTCAAGTTTATATGGAAGGGTAAAAACCCATAATAACCAACGGAATACTGAAGAACAAAACATCAGATAACTGATGCTACCCGAATTCAAGACTAAAAAACTATAGTAATCAAGACAGTGCGGTAATGTTAAAATAGACACAAGATCAATAGAACAGAATAGAGAGCCCAGAAATAGACCCATACAAATATAGTCAACTAATCTTTGACAGAAGAGAGCAAAGACAAGAAAAGACAGTCTTTTCAACACATGGTGCTGACACAACTGGACAACAAAAAATGAATCTAGACACAGACCATACACCTTTCGCAAAAATTAATTTAAAATGGATCACAGACCTAAATGTAAAACACAAAACAATAAAACTCCTAGAAGATAACACATAAGAAATCTATGTGACCTTGGGTTTGGCCTTTTTATATACAACACCAAAAGCACAAACCATGAAAGAAAAAAATTGATAATTAGGATTTCATTAAAATTAAAAACTTTGCTCTGCCAAAAAGACAGTTTAGATAATGAAACAAGCCATAGACTTGGAGAAAATATTATTTGCAAGACACATATTTCATAAAGGACTTACATCCAAAAATACACAAAAAACTCTTAAAACTCAACAAAAAGAAAAAAAGAAAACACAAATTTTAAAATGGGCAAAAGATCTGAATGGACAACTCCCAAAGAAGATATACAGATGGCAAATAAAAATAAGAAAAGATACTCAACATCTTATGTCATTAGGGAATTACAGATTAAAACAACAATTAGATACCACTACATACCTAGTAGAATGACTAAAATCCCAAACACTGATAACACCAAATGCTGACAAGAATGAAGATCAATAGGAATTCTCATTCATTGCTACTGGGAATGCAAAAATGGTATAGCCACTTTGGAAGACAGCAGTTTCCTACAAAACTAAACACATTCTTACCATATTATTCAGCAATCATGCTCCTTGGTATTTTTCCCAAATGAGTTGAAAACTTATGTCCACACAAAAACCTGCATACAAATGTTTATAGCAGCTTTATTCATGATTGCCAAAACATGGAAATAACCAAGATGTCCTTCCATAGATGAATGGATAAATAATCCTTGTTATATCCATACAATAGAATATTATTCATTGATAAAATGAAATGAGCTATCAAGCCACGAAAAGACATGGAGAAAACTTGAATGCATCTTGCTAAGTTAAAGAAGCCAATCTGAAAAGACTACATACTACGTACGATTCCAACCACATGACATTCTGGAAAAGGCAAATATAGACAGTAAAAAGATCAGTGGTTGCCAAAAGTTTGGTAGGAGGAAGAGACGGAGCAATAAATAGGTAGAGCTTAGGGGAATTTTAGAGCAGTTAAACTGTTCTGTATAATACTATAATGTGGATTTATGTCACTACATATTTGTCAAAACACACAAAATGTACAATACAAAGAGTGAATCCTAATATAAACTATGGACTTTAGTTAATATATTGTATTAATAATGGCTCATCAATTCTAACAAATGTACCACACTAATGTAAGATGTTAATAATAGGGGAAATGAGTAAAGGGAATGTATGAGAAGTGTCAGTACTTTTTTTTTTTTTTCTGTAAACCTTAAACTGCTTCAAAAAATAAAATATTAATTTTTAGAAAATGAAAGTGAAAACACTACAAAGTAAAAATTATTATTGGCATAATTTTAGATGATTTAGTTTAAAAATCTCTAACAATACTCAAAGATCTCCTGATTTTTATATTTACATTCTTCTGGGCATCAGACATATGGGTATTTAAAATTGTAGTAAGATACACATAACATAAAACTTACTATTTTAACCATTTTTAAGTCCATATATTTTTATATGTAACAGGTAGTAAGTTATTACTTACTGTCCCTCTTGAGATTATCAGAGAGAAGGCAGGGTTTACTTGGCTTCATAAAAACATAGCAAAAATTAACTTCCTCTAAAATAATGTATGATTTCAGAACTTCCAGTATATTTGGAGCTACCTTGGAAATCTGTTTTGTTTAACTGCAGAGATTCTATTGCTCTGGGCTGATCCAATAAGCAGAAAGACAGTATCAGACAGATGACTACCTTAAAGGAGAGTTATCCATGAAAATGACAAGAAACCTGCATAATGATACAGTAAGTGACCCTATGAAGGACTGAAGAAAACTTCTGAAAACAGGTACTTGATTTTTAAAAAATCAGAGCACAGCTTAGAAGAGATAATTGGTTTCTGTGCTCCCCCCAAAAAGGAATGACTACATCAGGGAAATTCTGTGAAATGATTCTAAACTCCAAAGAAAACAATTTAAAATTAAAATTGAAGGACAGATCTGTGTCTGGACAAAAAGAATCTTACTTCCCCAGGGACTGAGGGAACTATATAGCAGCTAAAACTAGAAAGAGAAAAGAATAGCATACTAGGAACTAAGAAAAAAGGGGCCCAAAAAGATGTGGTTATATAAGAAAGAAGTCAAGTTAGGCACAAAAAGTGAGGTGCAGGTTAAAAAAATTTTCTAAAAGAAGACTGATCAAGACAAATTAAATAATGCCTAGTTATCTACAATAATTACAAATTATCTATTAAATACCATTTGCACATTGAGATGCTCTATATATGAACATTTTACACTGACTCTAGAAATCTGGCTACCCAGATATTAACAATACTGCAGAAGACAAAGGCAAATAAAAGCCTGTAAAACCTGGATTATTTCTTTTTAGGAATAGCAACAAGCAGATTGCATTATTGGCAGTGGAGTTGTATTCTGATTAAAAAATTGTCCTAATCTGCATCTTGATAGCAACAAAATAAAAATATTTATAATAACTACTGAAAAAAGTAAAGTTTTCTTCTGTGCATGTAGGTGCAGAGTAGCTAAAAATGTCTTGGAGATGTTTTATAGAGAAGAAGTCTGAAGAAGAAAATGGGGCTCCAATGAGGACGAAGAACAGTTAAAATAGAAGACAATATCTTCCAATCTATTTATGCACTTTCTTGCAAAACTTGTCAAACTTTGATATGCATTCATTCAAGAAGTGTTTGAGATGCTACTGTGGTAAAGCTGTGTTAGGACATGCATGAAAACAAACGAATAAAATATAGTCCTTATTCTCTAATAGGTTACAGTCACAGAGGAAAAAACACACACACAAAATATTTATAAAAAAAAAAGGTAAGAATTTTAAGAGAGGTACAAACACTTCTATATACATGTTCAAAAGGACAGAGTTGGAAGAGCCCAGAAAGAAGAGATAAAGTTCATTCATTCTATACATATTCACATGCCTGACAAGGGCTGAGTACTGTTCTATCAGGGCTAGGACTTAGGGAGAGGTAAGTGAAGAGTTTAAGGAGAAACTTGCTCTCAGAGTCTAGGTACTAAATTAAAGAATAAGGTATTACATGTATTAAATGTGCAGCAATTAGTCAAACTTCTTTCACTTTCTTAACGTTATCAAGTAGGCACTTTATGGATATGCAGAAATCAAAATACACTGAAAGCTCACCATTTTTTTTTCTTTCAAATCCCAGGAATTGAGTTTAGAAGTCCATTCTTTCCCCGATTTTTTAAGACTTTTCACATTTTTTCTAGGAGAATGGCTTTTATTACAAATAGCAGTATTCATATCTTTTGACAATACGTATTTCTTCCTATAGATCAGAGATTCTTCAACAGTCTTATTTAGGAGAACTGATTTAAAAGTAGTTTCAGATTCAATACACCAGTCACTCTGCTTAGTGTTTTCAGTATTGTTCTGCTCTGAATATTTAGAATGATTCTGTTGTTGATTGTTTCTTTTGCAAACTTCTACTTCTGCTTTATCTATTTTGTTATGCTCCACTATTTCTTTCGTATATTTCACCTTTCCAGTTTCTTCAGAATTATCAGATATCGAAGAGGATGATTTTGGGTTAGCAAGATTTTTGTTGATAACAATATCTAGTGAAAAAATGAGATGTTCTTATTAAATTAATAATATACTGTAATATGTAAAATATGTTAAAACCAAAAATGCTTGTTAGATTTTTGAAAAAAATTAATATTTCCTTTAACTGCTACTTCATACAGATAAAACTATACATTTCACCTTGATTGAATGTGTCTCCTGATGAAATACTTGCTCTTTGGTTATTACATAGTTTAATATTTGTTACAGGTGTCCAACATGCCAATTTGGAGTGCATTTTATTTTCACAGACGTTGTCTAAAACACCAGGTAATCTAGAAAATAAATTCGACTGCTTAATAGATTACAAAACATCAGCTAATGACTCTAAGATCCTGATTTTTTATTTAGTCATTATTTGCTGAAAGCAATGTGTTAATTGTCAGGTATGAGAATATTTTCATAAGTCATGACAAAAAATTTATTATATAATTGACCAGGTTAAGGAATATTAGAAAAGAGTACCCTACTTTGGTATCTACTTAAATATATCTTACATGTTCTATTGTGTATTGAGACTAAGTTAAATTTCTTCAGATTCATACTTTATTATTTTTAAAATATCATTTATTTTGTCTCTTGAAAAGTTATGTTGTTTCATATGGAAAAAACATATAGACTATTCCCCATTGTGTTGTTAATACTAATAACACTTGAGAGATGATTAATGCTAATACTACATTCTAATAAGGCTTTTTCTTTCAAATCTGTTATATCCATCTAAAAGTAACATTAATATATGCTAAATGATTTGATGAATTTTCTCATACTTACATGGGTTTATCTATTTTTCCCACTGCCTGTGAATCAGGAACGTCCTGGAGTTCATCTAAATAAAACAAAAATTATGGTATTTTCATGCAGTTGGCAGAGTAAAATGGGTGTAAGTATAAAATTCTCTAAAAGTTCACATATTGAGACGAAGAGATTAACTGATCTTTCCTCTTCCCTCTCATACTCAGCCTTCTAGGGAACACAGATTGTGTTACTTTCCTTGGCACTTCAAAAGTTCCTTGCACAAAGCCAAACATATTTATTATAATCTATCTTTTTCAAATTAGTGAAAGCCAGTGGGGTTAAAATGAAGTATAGAGAGAAATAAAGAGCAACTAGAATTAAACAAAAAGTACTTACTAAAATTTTGGTTTGGGAATTCAGTGTCCTTATTTTCTCTCTTTTCTACAACTTTAGCAGTTTTGATATGCTATAAACACACAGGAAACATGTTAATGTAAATTTGAATTAAGGCATTATATGAAAACAACTTTTAAAGTCAAAGTATTAAGATTTGAATCTTTTAAAATAAATTTGCCATGGCTGGCCCGTGGCTCACTTGGGAAAGTGTGATGCTGATAACACCAAGGCCACAGGTTCGGATCCCTATATAGGGATGGCTGGTTAGCTCACTTGGAGAGTGTGGTGCTGACAACATCAAGTCAAGGGCTGGGATCCCCTTACTGGTCATCTTTTTAAAATAAAATAAAAATAAAAAATTAAATAAAAATAAAAATAAAATAAAATAAAATAAAATAAAATAAATTTGCCTTGCTATGAAAATTTGGATAGTATTCATATCTACTTCAAATTTTCTGATCACATCTATAGCTAGTATAATAATTCAATTTTCATCTGTTACTGACAATTTCTAGAACCTCCATGGCACATCTCCAGTTACTGATCTCACAGCTATTGTTTTTTCACTATAGTACCTGGAAGAGTTGGAAATTATGAAGTATTAAATTAGTTTTAAAGTTTTAGTCATTGCTCAGGTAACTTCTTACCTGCAGCAAGCTTCCCTCTTTCCACAGCCACATATACACACTTAACCCAGATAAAATAAAAATCTGCCAACACTATAAAAAATATACATTTTCTGGTATAAGATATTTTGCCTCATCCTGGTTGTCTTTCCTACTCAATCTAGCAAGTAGTTCTCTACACTTGTGTAGTGGGGGAGCAATTATAGAAATGTGCAGGTATGTTTTGGGTTGTCAAAATGACAGAGGGCTTCTCCTGACAATAAGTCCAGTCCTAGCTAGGATAGTTATCATCCTACAATATTCAGGACCATGCCACACAACTGAAAAATAGTGCCCTTATTAAGAAAAAATTAGCTTTACAATTTGAACCATTACTTTTGCTATTTTTTCCTATCTTCAATTCTTACATCCTTTACCTTTCTGCCACATACCCACTTAAATTTTTTTAAGAAGTATCTACCATCTGTTCTTTTTTTCCTGTAACATCAAGACTACTATGCTTTGAGGGCCGAGCCCGTGGCGCACTCGGGAGAGAGCGGCGCTGGAAGCACAGCAGCGCTCCCGCTGCGGGTTCGGATCCTATATAAGGATGACCGGTGCGCTCACAGCGCTCACTGGCTGAGCGCGGTGGGGCCGGTCTCAAAAAGGACAAAAAAAAAAAAAAAGACTACTATGCTTTGAGAAAATTGCACAAAATTGAGGGGTCTTCAAAAAATTAATGGAAAGGTTCATATTTTAATTCCACTCTTCCATGAACTTTTTGGGATACCCTCATATTTATGAACTAATGTAATGATAAAATTAATAGTTTAAATGAAAACTGGGCCCTTAATACTACCTCACACTTGTACTTATTCTTAGGCCTCTCCATTACCTCTCAGTTGCTATTCCAAATATTTACATGTCCCTGAGCCCTCTACTTCAACAGATCCCCATGAGAAACACACCATCTTCATACTCCAGAGGAAACAAAACCTATCAGGCATTCCTCATCTACAAACTTATCTGTATCTCTAATCACCTCCTGTTATCCCAAGAAACCATTTTCTCTAATCCATTCCCTGCTCTGTCCCTTCAACTACCTGGAATGAATACCCTTCTCAATAGCCACTTGATTAACCTTTATTGACCCTTCAAAAATCAACTCACTCTCCATCATCTCCTTAGAAATCATCTCCTGATCTTCACCCTCCCCTCCAGCTACAGAGTTAGGCATCTGCCCCTCCACTGGGTTCCTACTGCATCCTATATGTACATCTGAGAAATTTTATATTATATGGTAATTACTTATTAATCTGTTTAATTCCCATGCTAGACATTGAGATACTTAGGGACGTGTATCTCACATTTCTATACCAGAGCCTTCCACATAGCAGACACTAATTTGTATAATAAACTACAAAATGATGGCAAATCCATTTCTCTGACCAAATGTGTAAATCAGTTATAGTGAATGGATATTCATTAGTTTTATTGTAAGCACAATAAGTGAATCATATACCAAAAGGACCCTACTTTCAAGGACAATAAATGATATCTAGAAAAAAAAGTAGGGGGCCAGCCTGTGGCTCACTTGGGAGACTGTAGTGCTGATAACACCAAGTCAAGGATCCCCTTACTGGTCATCTTTAAAAAAAAAAGTAATACTTTAAACAAAGTGAAACACTTACTGTTTGCAAAAGAAATTAGCTCAACATATATTTCTACAATAACTTGATAAAAATTTATTTTAAAAATACTTTCAAAGTTACTTTGTCTGTATTATCTCCGCTATATCTTCCTTCAGATGATCTAGATTTAAGTGATATAGCATTATCTGCTCCATTTTCCAGTGTTTTAGAAACACCAGATTTTTCCGCAGAACTCATCATTTGCAGTGGTGGTTTAATTCTTTTTCGTCTTCGTGGTGTTGCTAAAAAGGATAACAAAGGACTGCTAGTTTTTTTTTTCTTACGTACAGCTATTATTGAGGTACTTTTCAGATGAGGAAACTAAGAAAGGTCCTAGGATGGTTGGGTGGTTCCCAGGTTTCTGGCTTAGATGAATAAGTGCATATAAATGCCATTTATCAAGACAACAAGTAGAGAAAAAAATGGCAGGGAGGGTAGAAAGACGAATTCAATTTTGGACCTATTAAGTTTGAGGAGCCTATCAGATATTAGGCAATTGCCCAGTAGGCACCTGGATTTTTGGAGTGGAAGGTCAATATTAAAGTGTCATAAACACTAAATAAGACCTTTTTTTAAAGCAACTAGGTACACAGTATCAGAACTGTTTTTAACTTTTATTTAGCTGTTAGTATGTGCCAGGCACTGTCTAAATGTTTCACAAGATTCCTTGTTGAATGAATGATTTTTATTTAATCTTCTAAACAATTTGATGAGGTAGAAACTTTAGTTATATTTTATAGAAAGGAAACTAGTTTGAAATTTAGCTAGAGGATAATAATTTGTACAAAATACAAACCTGGGAGTAGGGAACTTCAATCTTTTAACTACTATGTTATACTGCCTCCTGCTAAAATTATGATAAATTATGAATACTGAATATTAATATTTTGAACACTGCTTATATGTCAATACCCATTATACCTTTCTTCCCATCAGAAGACACCTGTGGTTCATATTTTATCAATTTTTATATCCTCCACTTATCCTCTAGGTAAATTATGACCAGAATTTCCCTGAGTTAAAAAATGCCTTCTTTAAAATATACTTGTTAGAAATCTTTTAAGACTATAAAACTTACACGTGTTGGTCAAAAGTATTGGACTTCTCACAATGTATCTATCTGCACCAGGAACAATCATTGACGCTTCAGACATTTTTCTTTTGCTAGGAGTAATTTTCTTAAACCATGAGAAACAACCATAGTAAGCACACATTCTCTTTGGAAATTAAATATCCTACAATTTTACTCCTAACATTTTGCCTTGATTACATGCAAAAGATTGGATAAATAAAATAAATAAAAAGGTTCTTATAAAGAACATAATATCCAGAAATTTCTGTGTTTAAAGTTAACTAGAAGGATTTTATCCTTTTATTTGGTATTGAATAAGTAGCCAAAAAAAGAAATATTGTTTTAAAGGATATTTATAAAATATCCAGACTTATGAAATACAGTACCTTTTTTACATGTTGGCCGAAAATATTTTAACATTGAGTTTAGTTTACCAATGGCTCACAATTCCCTATTCTATTTCATGAAAATGATATTCGGGTACTTATTTATGTAAAATTATTTTGAATGCTTTCATAGTTCTTCAAAACTTTCACACATTTTTGAAAATTACATTAATAATCTGTGAAGACTAAACTGAGTTTGAAATAAAAAGCTACATGAATTTAGAGATTCTGTGGCACATAAGCTAGTGGTTCCAGTGAAGATTTGTATTTTCCCACATCATCCCAGAGTGATTTATAAGAGCAACAGAAGTAGATAAGCACAGGCAGGGACTGCAGAATATAGGAGTTTCAGAGGGTGCAATATAAAGGAGTAGATGATGACATGCTACAGAGGCATAGGAAGAACTGTTTTTTAAAAAGGCAACTTTCCCTAAACAGAGAAAAAAAAAACTGATGGAATTGTGAATAGGTATATTTGTGAGATGTTAGGGAAGGGTGGGGAGGATACTTAAAGAAAGAATCCTAAGATTAGCCAGAAAACAAGCTTCTAAACCAGTATTCTTTTTAAAGAAATTACAGTTCCTTGTGGTACAATGAATGGGACCTGAAAAGTTACTTATTCATAAAACACCTCAGTTAATCCTTATTTAAAACATAGTAGGTATTTAACAATAGTACGATGTTTTTCAAATTTTACTGTTTAAGACCTTTACCTTTCCCAGAGTTTATGACTTAATAGATTTAAGGTCTAAGAATCTGCATTTTTAATAAGCACCCAACATGATACTGATATAAGGACACCAAAGATAGGTTTTTCAGTGTAATTTTCTAGGGGAAATAAAAGATGAAATTTTTAATTTAATTGAGAACACAAGACTAAAGGAGAAAATAGTAACATAAACATGCCAAAATGTATGGAAGAGCCTATGGGAGTTATAGTTGCCTAAAGGTGAGTGATTAGTAAAAACTGAAATAATCAGAAAAATCTCCATGAAGAAGTTGAAAATGAACCAAGATTTACAAATTTAAGTATGCTTTAGATGAGTAATGGTAAAAAAGGAACAAACAATGTGAATGAAGATCTAGAGGCTTGAATGAACATGGTGTACAAAGAGACAGTAAAGCAAATGAACTTACTACAGTGGAGAATATATACTATAATTTTAATAGAAAGAGTAAAATTAGGGCCGGCCCGGTGGCGCACTGGATAGTGCGCCGCTTGGGAAGCGCAGCGGCACTCCCGCCCGAGGGTTCGGATCCCACATACAGACCGGTTCCCGCTCACTGGCTCAGCGAGGCGCAGGAGCAACACCGAGGTTTGCGATCCCGTTGCCGGTCCCCGGTCCGGTACGGGGGCAACACTGAGGGTTGCGATCCATTGCCGGACACGGAAAAAAAAAAAAAAAAAAAAAAAAAAAAAAAAAAAAAAAAAAAGAGTAAAATTAAATTTTAGTTCTCAAAACTGAGTCAAAATGTATTGAGTCGGTGTGATAAACACAGAAATCATGACACTTGAGCAGAAGAATGCAACAGGATACTGATATTTAAGAAAAATCACTGGTATACCCTATGGAGTAGCTCATAGGATGAAGCAATGGTGTCAAAGACCAATTAGGAAGCAGCTGTATCAACCTAGCTGTGCTGAGTAATGGTAGAAGGAATAAGGCAGAAAGAATTTGAGAGATACTATGAAAGAACAACCACACTAGTACCTTCGTTCTAGATATGGGGGAGAGAAAAGGCTGGAATCAAGGATATAGCAAGAAAAATTAATGAAATATAATTGAAATATGGAGGCAGATGAAGGAGAGGACCTTAAAAAAGAGAGGGCTGTCTACAATGTCAAGTGTCATAGCAAAGTATGAAAAAGAAGGCTAAGAAATGGTTCTATTAAGATATGGCCTAAAGGAAGTCTTCAATGGAGGAGAAGAAGTAAAAGTACTTAATATTTAGCTTTTTTTCTTCATGCAAATAAATATAACATTATAAATTTGTATTATAAATTACAGTCAAATGTAATGATAGAACAGAAAGGATAAAAAGTGGTACTTACTATCCTATGTATCCCTAACTTAAAATTTACATATAGCCCCTAATCCCTACATAAACACAGTTTGCTAAAGTGCTGTCTTTTGTTTGCATTTGTAAAAGCGGAGGAGAGGGACTCTAAACGTGATTGATCAAGGCCATTAACATATAAATTCTATATACTTTTTTTTTTCTGTACCTGTATATAGCAATGATTTCATCTATGGTAGTTTTATAAACAAGTATTTTGACACCATATTTACCTCAAGCTGACTATTTTTTCTGTCCTCTTGATTACTGTTTTTGATATAGTTTGGAGATTTAGCAAATTCCTTTTGGGGGTTAGATTTTTCTTTTAAACTAACAAATTCTTCTTTGGCTGATGAGATTTGACTTTCTGGCACTAGAATCTGTTGAAGAATGAAAAAAGGTATTTGAAACTGCAAACCAAAGGAAGTTCTCAAAAATCACTAGATGTCTTAATAAAGCTCCAAATCTCACATTTACAAATGTCAACACTTTCCCTCTTCCATCTATGTACTGTTATAATTTTTATAAAGTGATCCAACAAAAAGTACCCACTTTTTCAAATGTTAATAGGAATAAAATAATCTTTGGAATTAGTTAAATAACATATACTTCTAATTTTTAAAGCTACCAAAACTGGTATTTATTAATAATGTTGTACTCTCTATATTAAAATTAATTATCATTAATAACATGTTTTTAAAATCATATAAGTTTTATTGGAGCACTGTTTATATTGAGACCATTTGTTTAGATATTTACCCTTTAACCTAAACTTTATTAGTGTGCTATTATTTAGGGTTAAACTTAGCCACATGATAAAAATCAAGTAAGTCAGAGACATTACCTGTGATCCACTTGCATCAAAAAGTATATGCACAGATGTTTTGACAACTGAAATACCTTGTTTTCTGGTAAATTCCTAAAATTAAATTAATTCAAAGTGATGTCATTTTTTTCATTTCCTTTCTATTTTTCCAGATGTCATTTTCTTTCCATTTAATAAAATTATTTCCTGTTTCCTTCCAAAATTGCCACATTATCCTAAATCATTACTTTGCATATATGAATACCTTCTCAGAACACTTCAATTATTCCCCACTAACCACAGTCTCCTTAGCTTGCCATTTTGATCCTTCTATAAGGGTTCCTCATAAATATATCCTCTGCTGTTTTTCAACATAAATCTTTTGCACTATCCAAACTTGTCAACAGAATATCTCACCAAACCATCACATGAACTGTCACCTTAGATTCTCAGTTAAACAATATCTGGCTCATGTCTTCCGCAATCCTGGAAAGCATCTAAATTCTACCTTTTGACTTCAAAGGTCATTTCAAGCTCAATCTCCACAATAATGCCTTCCCTTCAAACTGACTCTTAATGACCACTGTCTTTCTTCAATTTCTATGATTTATTTTCCCTAGGCCAATTATTTAGTTCTTCTGAGGTATCCTTTGTGTAATTATTACAATGTTTAATATCTTGAAAATAGTGCTTTGTCTCATTTCACTTTTGAGCAGCTTCTGCTAATTTTGTCATCTGAAATCTTTTCTAATAGATATCTCAAAGTGATGGTTAACAAGTTGATGGCTATTCCACAGTACAAGTTTAAATAACTAAAATCTACATGTCATAGTAAGAATTCTAGAATGGAAAAAAAAAAAAAAAAGCAATGAAACTTATAGCCCCAAATTGAATTTCCAGAATAATGAAAATGGTAAATATTTATTTAAAAAAGTTTAAAAACTTACCCTATATTTATTTGCACCAAAAATTTTTTGAGTTGCATTAGTGATTTCTAATGATGCATCAAAATACAAAAGCAATTCTTTCCCTTCTCTTTTACTAAGTTTTAGTATATTTTTCAGAATTATGGTCAGTAGCTTCTTTGATTCTCTCACTGTACACAAACAAATCACACTGATTAGGTTATATAAATTTCTATGATACCAGTCTATAGGAGTACTATAAATGAGAAAAGCATGCCACATAAAAATTAAAATTAATTTAATCAAAATTCATACTTTAAAAAATGAACAGTGTCAAAATTAATCGATTCTGGTACTACCTATTTAAACAAATCACATCAATTTACATTTTAGAGTCTCAATGTCCTGATTTATAGTTACAGGGTAATGACATAACTAATGTGATAAAGCCCCAAATAGGTTGTGAACTTTAACAGATTCTTAATAAAATATTTCTTGAAGATGTCTGACAAAGTATTTTCTTAATTTTAAAAAGCCAAACAAAAAATAACTTTAATTTCAGACAATTACTCTATTTCTAGGCATAAACATGTATTTAAACATTTCTATTAAATCTATAGTTGTTATAAATATATCAGTAGATAATAATATTTGATAAAAATTAAGTGAAGGAAATTGTGGGTGAGAAGGATATAGTCCTTATCCTTAATAAACTTATTAATCTAGTGCAAAGAAAATACTTTAAGTGCCAGTTTATAAGAAGTATTGACACTCCATCCCCCAAAATAGTTACCAAAAAATTACCTGGCACTGAGTTAATATGCCTGTATTATGGACTGTATTATAATGTGCCTGTATTATGGCCCCCAGCACCAGGGGCCACCATGCTCCTGTCCTACCTCTGATGGGCTCCTGTTGTTGGCTAAAAAGTCTCCACACCTGCCCCTAGTGTATACTTTTGGGCAGGAGAAAAACATCCTGAGGGAGAAGGACCACACAAATTAGGGAAATTTAACTCTACAATTGAAAAAGCTCTGCAGGCCACTCTATGATATGCCCTAAGGGACAAATATCCTTATCACATAAAATTTTCTGATTCTTATGAGGCTTGTCCAAGCAGAAATATTTCATAAAATTTTATAAAATTTTCTGATTCTTATGTGACTTGCCCAAGCAGAAAATGTTTTATTTGCTTTTGCAAGTATATGGTCATGAAATTTCCACAGTAATGCCCTTTGATAGTACTAAGAATTAATATTTGATGGTACTAAGAATTATTAATTGTTTGAATATAGTGGTGACACAGTTTCTCTCAAAGAGTGCTAGTAATTTTTTAAAAAAGAGAGTCATGAAATTTCAACAGTAACAAGTTTTCTGGTTTCAAAGATGAAAATTTAGGTGGGTTTAAAGATGATAATATTTCACAGTGCTGGGAAAACTGGATATCCATATGTAGAAGAATGAAACTTGATGCATACCTCTTGCCATATGCCAAAATCAACACAAAATGGATTAAAGACTTAAATATAAGATCTGAAAGTTTAAAACTCATAGAAGAAAACATAGGAGAAACACTCCAGGATGTAGGATTGGGCAAAGACTTTATGAATGAGACCCCAAAAGCACAGACAACAAAAGAAAAACTAAACAAATGGGATTATATCAAATTAAATAGCTTATGCACAGCAAAGGACACAATCAACAGAGTGAAAAGACAACCTACAGAATGAGAGAAAATTTGCAAACTATGCATCCCACAAGGGGTTAATATCCAGAATATATAGAGCTCAAAAACTTTACAGTAAAAAAAAAAAATAATAATCCAATTAAAAAATGGGCAAAGGAGCTAAATAGACTTTTCTCAAAGAAGGACATACAAATGGCCAACAGGTATACGAAAAAATGCTCAACATCACTAATTATCAGGGAAATGCAAATCAAAACCACTTTGATATATCATCTCACCCCAGTTAGACTGGCTATTATTAAAAAGAGAATAACAAATGCTGATGAGGATGTGGAGAAAAGGGAACATTTCTGCAGTGTTGGTGGGACTGTAAATTAGTACAGCCATTATGGAGAACACTATGGAGGTTCCTCAAACAAGTACAGATAGAACTACCATATGATCCAGCAATCCCACTACTGGGTATATATCCAGAGGACTGGAAATCATCATGTTGAAGGGATACCTGCACTCCCATGGTTATTGTAGCTCTATTTACGATAGCCAGGCTATGGAACCAACCTAAATGTGTCATCAATGGATGACTGGATAAATATGGTATATACACACCACGGAATACTACTCAGTCATAAAAAAAAAAAAAATGAAATTCTGCCATTTGCAGCAACATGGATGGGCCTGGAGAAAAACAACCCTGGTGTAGAAAGAGAAATACTGCACGTCCTCACTCATAAGTGACAACTGAATCCATAAATAAACAAATAAACAATAAAGAAAGAGAGAAAGAAACAAACAACAATCACAATAATACTTTGAACTTTTAGGAGAGAAAAAAACTGTGGTTACTTGAGGTGGAAAAGAAGAGGGGAGTGGGAGGGGGGTTAACGAGGATTTGGTTAAAGGGCACAAAGAATGATTATGTACTGTAACAATGAATAAGCTAACTATCCTGATCTGACCATCACACATTGTACACAACTATTAAAATTCAACTTTGTACTACACATATATGTGTAATAAATTATCTTTTAAAAGCTTCTTAAAAATTAAAAAATTTTCATGCTTTGATAATGAAGATTATTTATAATCCTTATATATATTTTTGCAGATTGTTTTATGCCTTTGATATGCATTTAATTTTTTTCTGTAGCTTACTGTGAACTTATTTTAAGTGAAATATTTTTTTTCACTGCTTATATGCACATACTATTAGAATTACTTCAAATTTGCTGCTTTATACCTGCTTGTACAAAGATTTGTCTACATATATTGTAACTACCTATATAAGAATTTATTGATATTTGTTATTTTTTTTTATTGCTTTGTTGAAATTTCTGATATTTGCTCTGACTACCTGGACTAGATCACCGTTTGTTTTGCTTTTTAATTAGTCAGCAATATTACTGACATGCAAAAAACTTCCTGTTTTGTTGCTTGTTATAAAATCTAACTATTTGTGGATATCAAACATCTCAGGATTTTATAACATATTTAGATATTTCTATATAATTCCAGTATACTGTACTTACATGAATATAATATGTTTTCTCCTCCAAAGCCATTATTAAAAACATTTTAATCCATACATAAAGAACTTTTTATAGAAGTATCCTCATAAAATTAGAATGCGTTATATATTGGCAAATAGATCTTAAAAACCAAGCTTTAACTTACATTAAAAAAGTGGTAATAATTTTTTCATCCAATTACACAAAAATATATTTGATGAGATGCAAAAGACAGAACTTTATCAGGAAGTGATGGCAATGATTGACACGAATCAGTTCACGTTAATTGAATATGAAACAAAGGGGAGAGGAGATCCCAAAGATATTAAGAAGCAGGAATGAATAAAAGTAGGAAATGATTAACTAGGGGAGAGGAAACAGTCAAGAATGGCTTCTATATTTGTGGAATCTGGCAAATTATCATACCATTTGTCAAGATAGAGAAAAAAAGGAGGAGTTCTTTGGGGTATTATTATGAGTTTGATTTCAGATATAGGTTTTAGATGTTTGTGAAAATATCTTACTCACACCTGCATCTAGAGTCCAGCTGAGAAATTAGAAAAAAATATTAAAAAATAAAGTGTGATCAACAGTGTCAAATGTGGGGGAAGGGTCAGTATAAGGACTTTAGTGTGTATACTGACATCATTATCTTGACATCTGAAATTTCAGTGGAGCAACAATATAAACAGAATGCAACGAGAACAGGAATAAATAGGAAGAGAAGGAAAGGGTTAGTAAAAACTATTTTTTCAAAATTGGCTATGAATGGAAAAAAAGATAGCTAGCGGAAGACAGAGGAGCTAAGAAGGCTTTTGGTTTTAAGATGTAGACATTTGAGCTGATTTATATGCTGAAAGAAAAGAGCTATTGAGAGAGAGAGAGAGAGAGAGAGAGAGAGAGAGAGAGAGAGAGAGAGAAGATACAAGAGATATAAATTGATGGAGCAAAGACCTAGAGAATGTGAATGGAGAATTCAGAGAAATTAACCTTCAACAAGAATAGATATATCTCTTCCTTTTACAGGAGAAATAAAGAAGGATATAGATGCAAAGATGTTTGGAGATGGAGGATCTAAAGGGCCAAATTTTATAGGCATTCTTACTTTAAAAATGTCATGTTTTTCTGCATTATATTATCATAGTGAAAGAGGGAAAAGCAAGACTCTTAAAGACCATTATAAAAATTTAAATATCTGCTATTAGAGAACTGGAGAGGGGAAGTGACTATGGGCATGGAAGATTTCCAAGTAGCAGTGAGAGAGAGTCCTAAGTTGGAAGTCAAAGACTTCCACTTCTGGGTAAGATGTAGTTTATTGTGACAGGCCAATTTCCTGCCCCCCCCCCATTAGAAGCATTAAAAAATCATACATTTAAAGGTGTGAGAGAACTATGGATGTAACAAGATCTCCAGTTTTTATTTTTCTCTAAGGACATTTGCCAATTCTGTTTGTAGGCTAAGGAAGAGAACCTCTGCTGGAGCAAAAACAAATCAGCAAGTATTCAGTGATCAGTAGGACCAGGAAACTTACAGACTTTAAAGGCATGACCGATTTTCTGTTCCTTGTGAGACAGTACAAGGAGCTGGACCCAAAATGCTAAAAGGCAGAGTTAACTCTCCAGTACTCTCACGGACTTAGAAGCAAAGTACTGACTAAAATAGGAGCCAGCCTCAAGCATATGAGGGGTCTTCAAAAAGTTCATAAAAGATTCATATTATCTTTTAATTCTATTTTTCCACAAACTTTTTGAAGTACACTCATATAGTCAGTTTCTCTCTCAAAACATCTGCCAGATTTTAGACTGAGCAGCGTAAGAGGCTGGAGAATTAAGCTGAAATCCTCTGAAAGGCAGAACAGTAACTCCCACAATCTCTTAGGTTCAGAAGCTAACAAGCTCACATTCAAAAGACCGGAATGACCAACACCAAGGAACAGAGGCGAATAAGACAGACAATAATTCTACTAAAACTATAGAACCAAACATGGACCAGCATCCATGATTAGACTGAAATGATCAGCTCTTCACCCTCTCTGCCTAATAAAAAAGAAGAAATCCCCTCTGGTGTAATAACGACCTGAAGTCTCTATAGTTCTTTTATAGGTAATGTCTATTATAGAATTACTTGACATGGAAAGAGACAACAATGTATAACTGATTGAGAGGAAACAACAGACTCTGAAGAAGACCTACATATGATTCAGATACTACACTTAGTAGATGTGATATGGACCTTAAAATAAATATGCGTAAGAAAAAATAAAAAGACAAAATAGAAAGAAATAAGTGATTCTGGCAGATAATTCTATGAAATCTACTATAAAACAAGTTAAAAGATAGAGGGCATATATATAAAAAACTGTCTCCATAAAATACTTTATGGTAAAGTGCTCTGGACCCCCAAGCCAGGGTGGTGGGGGGCCAAGAGCTTCAGCCACATCCCTCCAACATCTTCAAGCAGCCCAGTGATGACCACCAAGCCATCACCAGAAACACCCTTGGAATGAGGGGCATGCTACGGGCCTCAACCATGCCCCCACTTCCCCTCTCTCCCTCCCCAACAACTGTTCCACAACAACACCTTAGAACGAGGCATGGAGCCAGGGGAAGCCAAACCCAGCTGCAATCAGGTAAAGAGCACACCAAAAACACCATTTCCACATGGGTAGCCCACCATAGCCACCACAATTGCCATAACTGCTTCAAAAGTGGCTACTCTCTACAGCAGCAGTCACAGCCACCATGCAGATGGCACGCCAGACTCTCAACTGCATTGACACAAGGAGAGGCACCAGCGGAGACCGAAAAAGAAAGAAGTCCTCTCTGTACACAATGCACACTCCAGACTAATAGAAGAAGCATCTGATTTACAATAATAGGGGAGAAGTTGATCACACCTGCCTCAATACTGGACAGATCATCTGGGCAACAAACAAACAGAGGAACAGTTAATATATAAGATGGAGAGAACAAATCTGATTATTAGAGGGGAGAGGGGAAGGGGAGAGCTTGGGTAAGGGGCATAAAGAATAAGTATAATTTGTAACAATTAATATGCTAATAAAAATAAATTTAAAAAAATTTTAAATACTTCATGGTGAGAAAAATGAAGGATTCCCCTTCCCAACATCAGAAACTGGGCAAAGATGTCTGCTGTCATAATTTCTATTAACATTATAGTGAAGGGTCTAGCCAGTGCAATAAGGCAAGAAGTAATGACTGACCAAATGAAGTGTTGGCAAGGATGTGGAACAACTGGAACTCTTATACACTGATAGTGAAAATGTTAAATGGTAAAATCACTTTTGACAAGTTTGGAAGTTTCTTAAAAAGGTAAATTCTATGATCCTATCATATGACATAACCATTGCACTCCTCAGTGTTTACCGAAGAGAAATAAAAGCATATATTCTCACAGATAATTATACATTAATATTTACAGCAGCATTTATAATAGCTAAAAACCAGGAACATTTCAAATGCCCATCAACAGGTGAATGGATAAACAAATTGAAGTACATCCATACAATGGAATACCGCCCAGCAATAAAAAGAATAAACTATTCATACATACAATATGGTTGAATCTAAAAAATAATTTTAAAAAAGGTATTCTGAAAGAAAGTAGCCAGACAAAAGTTGCAAAAACTGTATGATTCCATTTTTATAAATTCTAGAAAAAGTACATTTATCCATGGTGAAGAAAAAATCAGTAGGAGAAGGAATGGATAGATTAAAAGGAGCACACAGAAATTTTGGAGGTGATGGACATGTTTATTAAGTTGATTGCCATGATCTTATTTGCATGCATATACACACATAACAACTCATCAACTTCCTCAACCTGTTGAAGTGTACCTACAAAAAACCTTCAGCTAATATCATACTTACTAGTAAAATACTGAATGCTCTTTCCTAAGCCAGGATCAGGAAGTAGGCAAAGATGTCCACTTTGACCACTTCTGTTCCATATTGTACTAAAGGTTCTATCCATTGCAATAAAGAAAGAAAAAAAAAAAGGAAGGGAGGGAGGGAGGGAAAAAGGGCATGCATAAGGATCAGAAAGGGAGAAGTAAAACTGTATCTTTAGTTGCAGATACTATTACTGATTGCCTGGAATATCCTCAGGAATCCACACTATAACTACTGGAACAAAACAGTTAATTTGGCAAGGTTGTAGGATACAAGGTAATAACTCAAAAAAATCAATTGTGTTTCTATATACCAGTAGAAAGTATTTGTATATGAAATTAAAGATCAATTTTATTTACAATCATACAAGAGTACTTCAAAAAGTTAATGGAAAAATAGAATTAAAGAACAATGCAAATCTTTCCCTGAAATTTTTGAAGTATCCTCATATAAGGTAAGATTGAATACTTGGGAGTAAATTCATCAAAAGTTGTGCAAGACTTACACAATGAAAACTGCAAAATATTGTTGAGAGAAATCAAAAATTTTGATGGAGAGATAAACTATGTTTATGGACTGATACTTCTTCCCATATTTATATACAGTCCCAATCAGAATTCCAGCAGGCTTTGTGGAATGATTGGTAAACCAATTTTAAAATTTATATTGAATCCAAAAGGCCTAGAATTTACTTAAAAAGAAACCCGCAATGTTGGAAGACCTGTAATAGCTGACTTCAAAACTAATGTGATACTGGCATAAGGAATGATAAACAGATCAATGAAATGAATTGGAGCACCAAGAAATGATGCTTACAGAGGCATATGATTTTCAACAAAGGAACCAAAGAAATCCAGTGGAAAAAGAAAAGCCTTTTCAGCAAATAATCCTGAAATAACTGTATATCCATATGAAAAAAAAACCAAAACCCTCAATTCCAACATCACACCATAACCAAATATTAATTTGAGATTGATCATAATCCTAAATATAAAAACTAAAACCATGAAGTTTTTATAGAAAAACAGGAAAACATCTTTGTGACTTAGGAGTAGGCAAAAATTTCTTAGGTCACAGAAAGTAATAACCATAAAAGAAAAAAATGATCAAGCAGACTTGAAATTCGAAAACCTCTGCTCCCACCAAAAACACCATTAAGAAAATGAATAATCAAGATAGAGACTGAGAGAAAATACTCACAGAACATATAACTGCCAAAAGATTGGTAAGAACTCTTAAAACTCAATAATAAAATAAGGCAGTTCAATAAAGAATGGACAAAATATTTAAAGAGATATTTCACAAAGAAAGATATATGAATGGCCAACAAACACATGAAAAAGTGCTCAACATCACTGGTCATTAGGAAAATACTATAAAAACCATAATGAGATACCACTACATGTCGATCAAAATGACTGTCTTAATATCTGAATTTGTAATAGTACTAGTCTGCCAACTTATATGATTTTGCCCAGGAGTGCCATGAAATTCCAGTTATAGGAGTAGAGAAACTGGATGCTTGGATTTACTCAAATGAATGGGGTAGAAGGGCAAGAGCCTTAAACATGTTGACAAAAGAGTGGTCAAGCTGACTGATCATGAGTTCTAGACTAGACAGGGAAGGAAATAAGAACAGGAGGGAGCTGGGAGATTGGGGGGGAAACAAAGTCTGGTAATTTGATGAACTTAGGAATGCAAGCATCTGAAAATGTTGATTTTGCTTTCATTTGTCTATTTTTTTTTATACCAGAGAGGACACAACTTCTATTCCATATGATAACAATCAAGAAGAGAATTATAAAAAAATAGAAACAAAGTCTGGTAATTTGATGAACTTAGGAATGCAAGCATCTGAAAATGTTGATTTTGCTTTCATTTGTCTATTTTTTTTATCCCAGAGAGGACACAACTTCTATTCCATATGATAACAATCAAGAAGAGAATTATAAAAAAATAAGTTTAATACCTTCAATGCTGTATATTTGTACTTTTTCCTCAGGCACAGTGACTGCTTCCCACTGATGATCCTTAAATTTAAAAATAGGTTTTGGCCATAAATAAATAATAATTTATTCCTGATTTAAAGCTTCTTTAAACACCAATTTATAGGTCACACAAACAATAAAGGATTTTTTTTTTTTTTACTAAATATCACTAAGTAACCAGTTTACGTAACACATTTCTTGTTCCATCACTTAACTACATAACTTATTACAAATGTTACATTTAATCTTTCTCTTCGCTCTTAAAAGGAAATGATAGTATTAATTTTATAGTTCCCTATTCTTAACCAAAAAAAAAAAAAACCTATCTGTTAATATTTATTATAGGATATCCTTTTTTAAAATGTTACTAAATCCTTTTATTTTTCCTTTTAAATATTTTGTGATGTCCTACTCATTCCTCAATTCCTACTACTGCTATCTATTACAGGTTCGTAACCACAATACTCATTAACTGATTGTCCTTAGATTCAAATACTGAATGCACATGAATAATATCCTAAAATGTTTTATCCTTCTAATATTTTCATTGAAAATGTGTATAAGTGAATAAATACTGAATTCACAAAGAGTAAAAATTAGATAACATTTCTTAAAAAAAAAGAGACCCTAAACTTCCCAGTAATCTTGAGAGAAAAATAGACCTAGTTCTTTTGTAATTTAAGGACCACTCATTTTATAGCAATTCCTCTAAATCTTCAATCTCTTCACTAATTCCCCCCACATCTTTGACTTAATTGAAACCAGTCATACACTGAGGGCATTACTACCTTGACAGCCTTCTCCAGTTAAGGTGCTAATTCTCCTCTATCTCAAAACCTCAGGGTAAGGAGGAAAGGGTTGGTATCCTTATTTCTCCCCAAAGCTTTGAGCAGCCTCCTATTTCTCCTTGCCCTTCTGAGGCACAGGTCAGCTGGCATACTCTACCCCTACTGATTGTTATTGTCTACCAACTTCAAATTGACTTCCTCAAACACTGAGGTTCCTGGTTCACTGTCTTCCTTTTAAAACCAATTTTATGATAGAAATTTTCAAACAGATTTTTTAAAGTAGAAATAATAGTATAACAAAACTAAAATATGCCTTTACCCAGCTTGAACAGTTATCAATATATTGTGGCAATCTTGTTCCATTCTAACCTCCCACTCTTCCTCCATTATACTCCTTCTTCTTGACCTCAATTTTTTCTGTAATGTCCCCCTCTCTATCTGTCCCTCACCATCAATTTCACAAAGCTCTTATCCTTAAAATATTAAGTACCTAACAAGAACCCCTCCCTTGAATTTGCATCTCATTATAGCTACTTCTATGCTCTCTTTCCCTTAACTTGTTTTTATTTCCTGAACAAATATTTCAGCTTTCCAGGAATGGCTAAACTCTCATCACTTAAGTGAAAATCCTCCTTCATGTGTTATTTTATTGAACCTTGCAGGAGTATTTGATAGTGCTGATCATTTCCTCTTACACAAACTCCTTTCCCTTGTCTTCCATAACATCATACCCTTTTAAATTTGTTCTCTTTTGGCTGATTCTTCAAATATCCTTCTGGCTAGAGTCTCTTCTACCTAGCCTGTGTAAATTTGTGTTTTTTACAGTTTTTTCATGAGGCATTCATTAAATACCATGATTTCATTTGTCATCTATAAATAGATAGCTTCTATATCTCTACTTATGGCTCAGTACCTTCACCTGAGCTTCAGACCAATGTATCCAACTGCCTATCAGGAATCTTCGGCTGAATATCCCACAAGCATCTCCAAATCAATACATTCAAAGCTGAACTGATCATCCTTCCCTTACAAAACTTGTGTCTACATCCCCATTCACCAAGTTTTATTAATCCTTTCTTTTTTAACTATAAAAAAATCACCAAGTTTGCTCAATTCAACTGCAAGTTTTTCTGGAATCCATCCATTTCCATCCATCCCATTGTCACTTCCCAAAACTATGCAACCATGAAGGTTTTTTTTTTTTATAGAAACATAATTGTTGTAGATACCTGTGGAATACAGCATTGAATATCAATATCTGTGTGCAATATGTGATCCTCAAATTAGGACTAGTATATTCAACATTACAAAATGTAATCATTTTTTGTGGCCCTTTATCAGTTTCTCACTAACCCCCACACCTCCATAAATTCTCACCTGGATTATTGCAAAAACCTCCCAATTGCCTCTGGTCTTGTTGCTTTTTAATCCATTGTCCCTACCAGGAGGATTTTTTACACAAACGTGTTTCCCCAGTGCCTACTACATATCTAGCACATAGTTAAGTTCTTGATAAATATTCACTGAATTGATGTTACCTCTTACTTATAATCCTTCATTGGCTCCACACTGCCTTATTTCTTTCCAATCCCCTATGTACTCTAAGTACTAATCATACTACTTATCCTTCAGTTCTTTCAATATTCCATTTATTAATTCTCGCAACAAATATGAGCCCTTGAATAGCTATAAACAAGAAAAGATTTATGATCTCATAAATCTTATATTCTATGGGAGAAAACATTTAACAAACAACAAATGAACTAATGATTTTATTTTATTTTATTTTTTTAAAGATGACCGGTAAGGGGATCTTAACCCTTGTCTTAGTGTTGTCAGCACCACGCTCAACCAATGAGCTAACCGGTCATCCCTATATAGGATCCGAACTCGTGGCCTTGGTGTTATCAGCACCGCACTCTCCCAAGTGAGCCACGGGCCGGCCCTGAACTAATTATTTTAAATAGCAATAACTACCACAAAGGAAATAAAACAGGACAATGTGATATACTGTAGCCATGAGGCTACTTTATGTTGAGTGACCAGAGAATACCTCTCAAAGAAGGTAACATTTATGCTGAAATCTAAATGGAAAAAAACTAAGATGTAAGGATCTGGAGGAGGTATTTTAGGCAGAACTAGGAAGTAGAAAGACTTGAGATGGGCATTATCTGTGTTAGAGAATAGAAAAAATGAACATGGCTGGAACACAGTCATAGAGAATGGTATGAGATAACAGAGAAACAGCCAGGGGCCAAATCACAGAAAGCTTTATATGTTATGTTAAAGAGACAAAAGAAGGGTTTTAGCAGCCACTATATGGAGAATGGCTTCTAGGGAGAGCAAGGGGGAATACAAGAATAGCATACTACTAGCATAAAAATTCAGAGAAGAGAGGATATTCAATATGTCTTCAGGAAGAAGAATCCCCCATCATCTTGATCAGTGTCTGGAACACAGTAGGCATTTGACACATAAAAATGCATTTTAGATCTTCCATATCATATATAATACCATAGTTCAATTGATTATTTTCTTCTCTACACCATCCATTAGACCAAGATAAATGAAGGTAGGGACTACATCAAAACTATACCCTTCTCCCCAAATGATATTCTAGTTCCTGAAAGAAAAGTCAGTTAAAAATATTCCTACAAACACTGTAAAAGAAATACACTAGTGAAAATTGTCAATGCCCCTGAGAAATAGTACTAGTCATTGGAACTCAATTTTAATAAGCATTCTAATAAGGTACTCTAAAATAAAAAAATAAAGGTATGTGGAACTCCTAAGAGGTATTTAAAGTTCACCTATAAAGAGTTAACCTGGAACAAAAAGCAGGATTCTATAAGAAATAGACTAAAAAGACTAACGCCTTATTATATCACCAGCCACAACCAGATCAGTAAATGCTGATAAAACTCTTAACTCAGATTTTGGCAAAGAGACTACACAATTTGAGCTAGAATATGGCAATGTATCAAATATGAGGTGGTAGCTATAAAGAAACAATGGCTCAAGGATTTTCCTTAGGTAAAAAAGAGGTCAGTAGAAAATATGCCACCAGCTTGGAAGGCTTAAGAATAGCTACAGAAAGAAAAGAGCTCAGAAAGAAAAGAACTAAAATTCACTTCCGAGTGTTACCATAAGAATCAGTCTCACTATTTCCAAAGAGAAGATTTTATAAATGAATAAGTTAAGACCACTTATCATTATCTATTAATGTCATTTTTAACAGAGGGCTTTTGTGTTTGAGTAACTGTTTTCTAAAGTTAACTCACTTTGAGTTATCTGTCATTAATTAACATGTAATTTACTTCTGAAAAGCTTATATATTAAAATTTAGCAATGATTTTTTTGTTACAATAAAACATCAGAAATAACATTTATTTCTAATTAGCTTGGTAGGTTATCATGCTAATCAAAACTACTAGCATTAACACTGAAACTTATCAAAAGAATGGCCAGAAAAATAAATATACAAAGAAATCCACATTCTTAAGGTGAATTAAAAAATTAATATATACATATAAGTATAGAATAATACAGAGGAAATAAAGCTTACATCATTATTTCCAGCAATGTAGAATGATAAAGTCTGGCTCCCAAGATTAAAATCGATCCAGAATTCCTCAAGTTTTTCATCTGCTGGTATTTGCAGCTAATAAACATATAAAACTAGTATATACTACACTTTTTAAAATGACAACAAAAAATTATGATCATGTTATATTCATGGCTAAATCTTTTTTAAAAGGAAAAAAGTATAGCTAGAAGACAAGGGAAGAGAAAGAGCAGACAAATATAACATTTAGATAGATTTAGAAACAAGCAAAGGAAATGCTACTTTTATAATATCTTACATAGAAATTAGCTAGCTTTAATAAATCACAAATATTCCAAGTGCTAACAGAGGTTGAAAATATTAGTTTGAATATATTCATGAAGGATAAATGAATAATAGGCTTGATTAGGAGAAAGTTTATACAATTGCAGCCTTTATATTTCAATTATTCTCCCCTATAGATATGCTGCCTCATAAAATTTCTCCTGGTGCCACAGTCAGATACAGAATACCAGGCCAGTTGTATTTGTGATCTAATAATGACTATTTTTAATGTTATCAACTTGTAATTCACAATTCACTTGACTATTGCATCAAGATCCATCCAATAACTAAAACAACGTGTGCTAAACTTAAAACTTACCTCATATTTATCAAGAAATGCAGATAAGCAAGGAAATGTAAAGACCCTGAAATAAGAAGTAGTTTGGGTTTAAGAAGAAAATTAATAAGCCTTTATAGCATAAAATCTTGTCCAGACATATAAATCATGCCTAGAATCAAAAGGAAATCAGGTAGTGGTCATTAATAACAATTTTTTTTTTTTAAATGACTGGTAAGGGTATCTTAACCCTTGACTTGGTGTTGTCCGCACCACTCTTGTCCAGACATATAAATCATGCCTAGAATCAAAAGGAAATCAGGTAGTGGTCATTAATAACAATTTTTTTTTTTAAATGACTGGTAAGGGTATCTTAACCCTTGACTTGGTGTTGTCCGCACCACACTCTTCCAAGTGAGTGAACCAGCAATCCCTCTATAGGGATTCAAACCACTCTTCCAAGTGAGTGAACCAGCAATCCCTCTATAGGGATTCAAACCCGTGGCCTTGGTGTTATCAGCACCACACTCTCCCAAATGAGCCACGGGCCAGCCCTCATTAATAACAATTTAAAAAACCAAATCATATCTCCCTCTTTATTACTTTTTAAAATTAGTGTTCAATGGAACTTTGTTTATCTAGAGAAAACTGTATTACTTTGAAGATATTACTCAACCTATTATTTTGACTAAAGTGACTGCACCAAAACTTTTTTGCATCTTATTAAATATGAGCAGAGATTTCTAATTTAGCTTATACTATTAATACCGTGGTAGTTCCCATAGGGCTTAGATGAGAAAAGAAGAGTAGAAGTGAATAATTCTGCTAATAAAAATGGCTAAATTCATGGAATGCTTTCATGGTCAGATACTATTTTAAATACTCAGCATATTAATATCCCATTTAATCTTCACAACAAACACATGAGGGAGGTATTAATTAGTATAGTAATATTACAACTAATGAAACTGAGACAAGTAAGATTAAATACTTTGCCCAATATTAGAACAGGAAGAGTAAAAACTTATGATTCAAATCCAGGTAATATGACGCCTTGCACTTAACTCTCATCCTATCTTTCATTTGCTTAGTATGTGAAGTAAATCTGAACTGATTCATCCAATATGTGTGTCCTGAACATCTATTAAATACTAGGCATTGCAAATATTGTTGTTCTGTCATTACAAAAAATGATAAAAATTCACATTACATATCCTTTCATGTCCATTTCTGAGGTTAAATAACCTCAGAAAGATCCTACTTACAGTATGTTAATTATCAAGGAAGATGATTTGTTTGCTATATATTTTCATTCCAGAATGTGGATGAAGGAGGCAGTTTAAGTATTATATATATATATATTTTTTTTTCTTTATTAGTCCTCAAACACTAAATAATAATGTATATGCAATTCTGAAATATAGTAAACCAATTTGAACAAAGTTATTAATTAACATGAATTAAATAAAAATGCATATTTTCCTCTAAAAAAATACAAAACAAAACAAGGTCAGTGGAGGATTATTTCAGACTACCAGTGTAGTAATTTACTAAATGATGCCATTGTTTTGAATTAAATATCCGTGCATATTTTATACTCCAGTGTAACGGAACAAATAAACTTATAAAGGTTCAACATTGGGTGCAAAAACAAGGTCAGTGGAGGATTATTTCAGACTACCAGTGTAGTAATTTACTAAATGATGCCATTGTTTTGAATTAAATATCCATGCATATTTTATACTCCAGTGTAACGGAACAAATAAACTTATAAAGGTTCAACATTGGGTGCTTATTTTTGAGCCCTATTTTTTTCAAGAGTCAATGGTTGTGTATTGCATTAAATTTACCTTCTCTTGTCTCCAAGCATGCCATTTACAAGATTGAGAAATATCCTGCAATCCTAATTTTAAAAAGAAAAACTTTTAAAAATCATATTTATTAAAAAATAACATTCACTAATTCTGCTATTTTTATATAACTTACTGTTTCAAATTCAGAGTCTTTAATTCCTTTAAATGCATTAGCAATAAAATCCATGGAAAACCACTGACATGCCAGTTCTTGTCTTTGTTTTTCTGTGGTCATTCTACATAAAGCTTCTATGATGCCTATCTGTAAATCATAATCTATTAAAAAAATTGTTAATCAATGTATAATATGAAATTATGAAAATTAAATTCATAAAAGTCCATATAGTTTATAAGGTATTAGAACACACAAGACAAATAAGGAAAATATTAGTGCAATATACTCATTTTTTTCTATTTTCTTTATATGGATTAGAAATAGCTCATTATGACAGGGAATTAATACAGCCCAAATAACAAATTTACTAATAGAAGGAGTGAAACTTTTAAAAAATGCAAAAGAAACTCCTAAATATTCAAAGACTCTGACATTTCATTATTATTACAGTTGTAAATTGCAAAAAAACTTATACAGTAGTGTATAAATCACAGAATCCTTGTTTTCCTCTCATGTAACATGATGTTTACACTCATCACAGAGTACTTTAACCGTGATTTATTCTATATGTAAATCACTACATCAAAATTTGCTCATAGGAAACTTATAAAAGAAAATTTAAGTTCTTTTAGTAAATACATTGTTTAAAAATAAGTCTATCAATCCCTAGTTCTATGGTTTCAATGTTTGTTCCCTCCAAAGCTCATGCTGAAATTTAATCCCCATTGTAACAGTATTAAGAGTGTAATCCAATTATGAAATTTGAAAGGTGGGGCCTTTAAGAGGTGACAGGATCATGAGGGCTATGCCCATTCATAGATTAACGGGTTAATGAATGAATAGGTTATCATGAGAGTACACTGGTGGCTTTATAAAGAGAGAAAGAGCACGTGGACATGCTCAGCCCTCTTGCCATGTGATTCCCTATATCACCGGGGGACCCTAAGAGTCCCCCACCAGGAAGAAGGCCCTCACCAGATATGCCCCCTTGACCTTGGACTTCCCAGCCTCCAAAACTGTAAGAAATAAATTTCTTTTCTTTATAAATTATGCAGTTTCAGGTACTCTATTAATAAGTGACAGAAAATAGACTAAGACCAAGAATATTAGATCTCCTAATTTCATAAAATACCACTTGAGGAATTTCTTAGCACAAGTAATTCAGATCAATTGGAAAATTAAGTTATTATTCATTAATATATCATTAGGCACAAATTATGTTTATCTAATGCCTATTGTCATATAAATTATTTTTGTCCCAAAGATATTTATTTTTATTAAAGTGACTTAAAAACTGTTTCATTGTACATAAAGCTTATAATTCCCTGACATAATCTCACCACATTACAATGCTATTATCATTCTGATTAAAAGGATATTATATACTATTCATAAATTTGGAATAATTTCAAATTTTGACAAGACGAACTTACCTCCAGCATCTAAAATCCTTTCTCCCATACTATTCCTGTGAATTAAAGCAACAGATTATGTACTGAACTAGTATCAAATAAATAGAAATCCTCTATGTTTGGGGGGAAATAACTTTCACTAAAATTTACAATTGGCTAGTATCACTGACTTTTGTCGAAAATATATACATATATTACATTATATTAAAAAGCTACAATAATTCATCACTTTCAATTATTAATGCAAACTCATAGTTTCATTATTGCCTTATAAAACATTCTTTAAATTCTTGACTTGAACAACTAATAAAAGCAATATAGTAAATATTATTACATGAGAATTAACATTTCTTGGTTAGAAAGCATTTTCCTGGCATCTTGAGGCATTTTGTCAAGCATAGCATTCATTTTTTTTAAAGTCTAGAAAAGAAAAAAAAATAATGCACTCACTTTATATTCAGTGAAACATTAAGCATTTAGAGAAATATTCTAGGCACATAAACTTAGAAGCCTAATTTTTTCTTAATCACTGCATTTTATGCAGGGAATGGAGTAGGATAGAGGAAACAAGTATAAAACAGTGAATTCAAAACAACATAAACCACAGGATATCAAGAGTAGAATATAACATGACTCCTGTATTTAAAACATTTATACTGTTTGCAATATGACATACATTTACTATTTCTCTATTATAAGATCTAAGGAAGCCAAAAAGTTACCTTATTAATTTCTATTCTTATGTTATACACATGTACACATATATATACACTAATACAGATTATTTTTAGTATTTAAATACTTAAGAATCCCTAATATCTGGATATTTATTTTAATATGAGATTTAAGCATACCTAAGCTCATATGGTTATACATTTTTAATAAATATTTAGGAAATATATTCATTATATCTGGTGATGAATAGTGAAGACAACAGAAATAAACTCCAAGATAATTTAGTCCAAGATAAAGTAATTTTTCAATTTGATAAATTGCTATTAAATTTTCTTCACTTTCTCATTATTGTTTTAAAAGACTATCAAACAAATGAGTTTACCTCCTGCTGAATACAAATATTCATTCTTGAGTCAATAACCAGGGCACAAATTCGAGGTACGAAACATTCCACTACTTGTCTTTCACCTGAATGGAAGTGTTAAATTACTGATAAATATTCATTTTATATCCTTTTGAATGGTAGTCTTTTCTTATATAAATTAATGGAAAGGATGTACTAGTGCAGCTCAGAAGAGGGTCCACTGGCCTGGGCATCAGAAAACAAAAAATTAAGCCCCGGGGTTCTGCCACTAAATAGTTCAAAAGTAGAAACTTCTATCTTAAGACTGGCCCCAATTTGTAGTCATACCTCAAAAATTCTTATACCCATAAAGACCATCAATGTGTCTTGACCTCATGAAGTTCTAAATGATCTAAGCTATTTTTAAGTAAACCCATTTTCAAAAGATAAGGCATTATTAATACTATAGTCAAAGGAATTTTCTACATGCTATTTCATAATGCGAATTTTAAAAATAATTTTAAACAATGGAAATACTGCAACAGCAAATGTTCAACTTTCCAAAATGATTACACTGAAAGAAAAAAATACTCAGATGAAAAGATATAATGATTTACTTTAAAAAAAAATTAGCTGAATCACTTTAAAATTACTTGTGTTTAGAACTGTTTTCTCCCCTACCAACTTAGGAATTTAGACTAAATTAATTACAAAACAAAAGTCAATGAAAAGGTAGCATTAACTATTATTTAAATCAACAACAGTTTGTTTGAAACTTTTTGGCTTTGAAGGCAGCAAATAGCTTCATTTATAAGTAATTCACCAGCCTTAATTACCAATTTGAGGTTAAGTCTTCCTCAACCAACACGGAGATAAAATAACTTGGTTCTGATTGCTTGGCACAAGACACTTGCCACAAGTGAAAGGATGAGTTGTAACATGTTCTGCATTCTCAGCTTACTATTGAAAAATTTTTTTCCATTACATCAAGGGTTGGCAAACTATGGCCCACAAACGAAATCCAACCCATTGCCTGTTTCTGTATGGCTGTATCATTCATCAGCAGGTGCCACGTGGAAAATACTAAAAACTATTATGTTTTATTGAACCAGCAGTGCCAAAGGTGAACTTCATTTACTCTCCTAAACTTAGCCATTGTTAGTTATGTGAATTTTTGTCAGAAATAAAAACTGAGAATCCTGACTTGCCCTACTATGTAGCAGTCCAATTGCTTAGCAGTGGTAAAGTTTTACTGTGACTTTTTGATATTCAGGGCCAAGATTGAAATTTTTCTGAACAAAAACAGTCCCCAATCATTATTATTGAATATTAAATGGCTTTGGTGCTTTGGGTGCATAACTGATAATGTTTCTTAATGAATTGATCCCCAGATTACAAGACAAAATAGTGCTTAGATCATAAACTTACACTGCAGTCATTTTGATGATAACTGAGGTTATGTGAATGACAAGTAGTGCCAAGGTGCTTTATACATTTCCCAGAATGTCAAAAGTTAAAACAAAAAGTGACATATCCATTCTCACACAAATTTACAGGGAATATATTTTTTCCAAGCTCCAACTACAGGTCCAGCAGCATATTTGGACCTTGATGTAAATGCAAAGGATATTTCTGTATTTCAAAATCCAGTTACTTGTCCAATCAAGGAGCTTTCATATAACCTTCAATTGAAAGTGATTAATCTTCAATGCAATGACATTCTAAAAGGCAAATATTAAGGAAAAAAACCTAACAATTCTAGGGCCGGCCCGGTGGCGCACTGTAGCAGTGCGCTGCTTGGGAGCGCGGTGGCGCTCCCGCCCTAACAATTCTATTAATGCCTTCAAAGTGATGAACATGCTCAATTAAAATCATGATCATGAACTGATATTAATACTTGGCACTATGTGCATGAGGATACAATTGTCTAACGCGACATACATAAAATGTCACTACAGATAAGCATTAACAAATGAATATGTGCAATCAATTTTGAAAATAGGGAACACTAACTCTGAACCCTAATTAAGTGAATTGTTATCCCCTCAAAAAAGAATGCTATTTCCCTCATTGGTATATCTGTATAACAAAACTTTGTACTCAATTATTACATATTTAATTGTGTCAAAAAAATTTGCAGAAATTTGATTTCTTTCTTGTTATATAAGTACCTACATAATATTCTCAATTTTTTTCTCTTGGATTACAAAGTCTAAAATATTTACTATCTGGCCTGTTACAGAAAAAAATTTGGTGATACTTGAATTAGACAAAGAATTCTTAATAGTAGGACAATACTATGGGAATTGCAAAATTATACTAAAACTCTAACAGCAAATTATTGTTCCAACAGAAATAAATGTTTATTATTACCTTCATCACTGACATCATGTATGACCTGAAAAGAAGTGAATAATATTTAGTCTACAATTTACCATCTTCTATTATAAACCATTACAAATGGTAATAAAATGACAGATTACATTCTAACTCATAATATAATCATTTAATTTTTATTTATTAACTAACCATTTAATTATATTAACGAGGATAAATGCTTTATACAATCTGTATAGTCTAATCCAACCAAATCACTAACCAAATAGTGACTTTTAGTCTCAGGGCACAGAGAACACAAATTGTTTTTTAAATGAACACATGCTTTATAACATCAGTGAATCAATGTGATTTTACCATCAAAAGATCAAATAAGTCTTCCACCATATTTATAACATCATTTGAATTTCCTCGACTTAGAATAATCTCCTTGGATTTTTCAAACCAGGAAGCCATGTAAAAAAAAAAAAAAGTTCATATTACCTACTTTGAATTCCACTTTAATAATTTTAATAATATTTTTTGTCTATCTTTGCATAAACAGTAAACCTAGGACTAAAGAGATATCAAAAGTAAAAATTCCAGTACTGTATCAAAGTAAGTTTATGCTTTTAAACATCTTCCTTGGTTTTTTTTGGTTAACTCATTGTATTTTCCCATTGTTTAAAACAGGAATAGATAGTTAATCTTAATTCCAAGTAGAGGATCCTTATTTCCCCCTTCAAATTCCTAGAGTTCAGGTACATTTCTTATAACAGATAAAAATGAATTATCACAATTTAGATTATTTTGGTATTAGTAATTTTTAAAGTTTTAGTATTATTTTACCTTAATTAATCAACTAATTCAGATATCTGAGTATATACTATATCCCAGGTACTGTTCCAGGTGCTGGTTACACAGAAGTGAACAAAACGGACAAAAATCAACACCCTACATTCTAACATGGGAGACAGACAACAAACAATATAAAAATAAAAATTAAATTAGATAGTGATTTAAAAGAGCTAAAGAGAAAAGTAAGCAAATAAAGGCCTTAGAGAGTCTTGTGACCTTAAATTTACATGATTATCAAGGAGCCTGTGATCCTTCCTTGTGTTCTTCATCTTTGTAACGTATACCATGAGCTATAAAAATATTTGTTTTAATCTCCAAGTTTTATATAAAATTACCAAATTTATTTTTCGACAGTTGGATTGTTTCTCATTATACTAGAAAGTAAACTTTTACCATATTTTTGTCACATGAATATGTTACATATTCTATACTTATCTTTTGGACTAGTCCTTGTTTTATCATAGTCAGAAGTCCAGCTTGTCCCAATATACTGATATTTTTGCCACATCTTCCAATGGAAACCAAAATGGTTGAAACAGTTTGGATATCCTTTTTATTAAGTTCCTGAAATGAAAAGCATACATTTAAACTTCTGCAAACACAAAACAGTACAGGATAGGCATTGTTTTAGGAACTTTATACACATATTTCTCATTCTCATAAATCCTGAAAGGCAGTCATTGTCATCATCCCCATATTGCAAAAGATGAAAGTGTGGTCCAAAAAAAGCAACTGCCACCCAACTAGTGAATAATAAACTCAGAACAAAAATGAAGATTAGTATAAATTCAAGAAACTTTAGACTATTATACAATGAATCTGTTACCTTCCATTCTGAAAAGCTCCATTTAAATAATAAATCCAAGAAATTTTATTCAATCTTTTAGATTTATAGCAAATCTCAGATACTGGGGGAGACTGCCAATAGTCACCTTTTCTCATGTATGAAAATGCCTTAGATAAAATAAATCAAACCCAAGGTTGTGGATAATATTTTTTTTTTGGTTTATTTTTGAAAGCACCAAGCACTGTCTGTGTAACATCAAGAATATGTTGATAGGTTTTAAAAAAATAGATCAAGTTGTTTAAATTTCAAATATGTATACTATTTTTTCCAAGTTTGGGTAACAGTTAATAATGGTAACCTTATGTAAACACAACTTTTTGTATATTTTATTTGGAAAACAACAGTCCAATGTGTTGAGACTCTTCAATCAAACAAAAAAGCAAATGCTGAAGTAAGCATTTCTTTATATAATTGTAAGCCAGCTTATTCAAGCCTTTCTATTCATTTTTCCTAATGGCATACTTGTTCCTATAAAATAGAGTTCTAGCTGATAATTTTAATAACCATTCAGCAAAAATAAATATTTACCCTGCACATCAGGTCATCCAACTTGCGGAAAAACTGTTTGCTGCATTTAATCTTAACATCTTCACAAATATCAATTTGTAAAAGAGTTTTCAGAGGTTTGAAATCATTTTTTCTTAAAGCTTCATCGATGCATTTTTCCAACTGCTAGAGAAATATAGTTAATGGTACATATATTGAATTAAAACCCAAATTAGTCACCTTATGCAATCTAGTAATTTGAGGATTGTTTTCACATGAAAAAATATCAATTCACTTATTTTTTAAAAACCTACCCACTACTAAATTTGAAGTAACTGAATTAGAGATTTTTTTTTATAATAATAAGACTCTAAATGGGGAAAAAATATATTTTACTAATATTTCCAATTCATATCTTCTTTTGCTAAAGTCATCACTATGTCAAACTCAACAAAAATTTGTTCATAAAAAAAGTAAAATCAACTTTATAGTAACTAATACTTAATACCATGGATAAAAGCCCAGAATGTCTGACTCCCAACTTCTTAATGAGGTTTAAATAGTAAAGAAAAATGCATAGACAGGCAAAAACACCTTTTAGAAACTATACCAACCAATATTACTTAAGTATTACCCTTATATAATATTTATAACCTTTACAAAATCTGCCGTCCCTGCTAAAGTGCTACCTCATTAATAAGAAATTTTCATACTACAATCTGATCGCTAAACAGACTTGATGGTGAATTGATTGCAGACATGTTAAATAGATTACTAAAACTTACTCTTTATCTAAATTCAAGTATCAGTTTTAAAATTTGATATAAAAACATCCAAGCATAAGTTATACATTAATCAGTGCATAAGTCTTTTCAACATGACAGGTATATACTTTATAAATTATATATTAACCAATACTTTATAAATATTGTAATACTTTATATTTTTAATATAGCTTTCGAAAACTTATCTATTGAATAAAAGAAAGGACATTTTTATTTAAATTACTCTACCCTTGACAATTTCATACAAACACATAAGCTTTGTCATTGCTAAAAATATAGCACTGGGCCAGCCCGGTGGCGCACTGCTACAGTGCGCCGCTTGGGAGCGCGGTGGCGCTCCCGCTGAGGGTTCGGATCCCACATACAGACCGGTTCCCGCTCACTGGCTGAGCGAGGTGCGGGTGCGACACCGAGGGTCGCGATCCCGTTGCCGGTCCCGGTCCGGTACGGGCGCGACACTGAGGGTTGCGATCCGTTGCCGGACACGAAAAAAGACAAAAAGGAAAAAAAATAAAAATTAAAAAAAATAAAAATAAAAATATAGCACTGAATACCTATGAGTAAACAAAAAGTGATTTTAGAAAACATTTCCTTTTGGTCTAGGACTACATACCTGGAGATCTGGTCTTACTGGCATTTTTACTTCATTTAAAAACAGCAGGACAAAACAAACACCTATAAAATAAAACATATCTTTTGTTATCTTACAGTCCATTCCATGTATTTACAGTTTTAATATCTTAACACACATAAGTAAGCATTGCTGCTTATACCAAAGACGATAAATATTGTTTCTTTAAATTTCTCACTGGACATTTCTCATGCCTGTTAATCAAATTACACATTTGAATCTGGTCAAAGAAATTTCTAGAGCAAAACTTAAAGATCATTAACTTGAGCCCTCTCTTTTTATAGATTACTTAAATAAATGTCATACATCCTACCAAAAGGTCAAAATGCTGGTTAGTGAAAGAATACAAACCTGGAACTCCCTCACCAATAATTCCTGCTATACAAGGGTGGTTCAAAAAGTTCATGGAAAAACAATTAAAAAATAATATGAATTTTTCCATGAACTTTTTGAAGTACTCTCATACTTCTTCCACCTTTGGGAACAAGAAGAAAAATACTCTTGAATTAATGTCTAAATGAATTCAATGATAAAATAGTCAAGAAGGGAAGAATATAGAAATACATTAACACAGAACAGGATCAATTAGAACACACAAATATGCAAGGAAAGGAGTGAGGAAAAGATAACTTAAGCACATTCTGTATGCCCTGGAGGATGTTTAGGAAAGAGAAAACCCCCGTTTCTAGCTGAATGTCCAAATCAAGGGGATGTCATCACTTTCCCAAAGTAATATGTGTCCCTTAAGACCATAAGATGCACATAAAAATGACTATCAAAAATTAATATACTGTAAAATGGCTTCTCAACAGAAAGCATCTCCCAGGTTCTAAAGAGAGATTCCATGCTCATGAAAACAGGACCAAAAATAGATGGAAGTTACTTGTAACAACACTATGTAGTGTGTTTCTGACAAGGGGAAAAGACAAAGGTCATTTATTTTCTCTGCCATGAACATCTAAGGGATTAACATTATTTTTAGCAACTGGGAAGAAAATGCAAACCATTTGCTGTACTCCTTGTCAAAACCCTATATTTCCATTTCATTTTGAAGAACACATAGAATTCTTTTGGCTGTCCTTTTTGGAATAAAGCACCAAAGGTCATTCTAAAAGCAACCGTGTGCCTGAGGGTATTATTAACATATAACAACATCTAATGCATTTTTTTCCATCTCATTTTAATAATTATGGAAATGTTAAAAAAATAAATCTGACATGTTGGTGACAATCTACCTAGAAAGAACCTATTAGCACCCTTATATAATAAACACATATTTCTAATCTAAAAAAAATTTTTTTAAAAACCTAAGTACATTTTTCCCTTCAAGGAGAACTGAAACAGGAAACAATAGTGTTATTTTTTACTTCGAGCACCACCTACCATCTTAACAAAAGCATCTAACATTTCTAAATGCAATTTTGAGGTTACTTTTACAAAGAAAAAGAAATAGCATGTTTTTTAGACATCATGACTAGAATAACTTAAAAATAACCTATTCTGTGAAGAGCTCTGTAATAGAATCACCAGGAAATTCAGCAGAAAGAGGCAACTAATTAATTGATCCAAGAGGAATGAAGGACTTCCTGTATCCATAAGACAAGAGGCATTAGTCATAGTCTACTTTCTTGCAGACGTGCCAGTAGAGAAATTTAAATGCCAGTAGAGAAATTTAAATGCCAGTGAGGACATGCATATAAGGCATACAAAAGGTATGAGTAAAAACAAACGAAAATCTCTTACATGTCTAAATGTAATTTAAGATTAACTATAGAGGGAAAAAACATGATCCCTAGAAAGACATTTGCTCTATTTGCATAACGAACTGGGTATAAAGCTGTTTTTGCGGCATTGTTTTGAGGGGCAAAATTTCAAAAGCATTTAGATGGGAGTTAAGAATGAGAGGGAGGGTGAGGTATGAATAAAAAAAATGTGGTATATGATAATTATGTGAATACAATAATCAAGTAAAATTAACCAGAACTATAGATATCTGTTAAACAATTTTAAGTTATTAAAAACATATTGCCAAACGTTATGTACAGTGTAATGGCATATATGTGAAAAAAGAAACTCCATATTAGTTGTGATTGTATCTTCATATGTATGTAAGTATATACATGTGTATAAAGAGACATTCATCCACACCACTCAAGACAGTTGGGGCGTTTGTCATCCCACTGGGGAGGAAGAGTCCGGAGATGCGCAGAATTGGAACTGTGCTGTTTATCAAAGGGGGACTTTAGTTTTATTTACAATTTACACTTTTATACCTTTTTAAAAGTACAGTAAATTCTTGCCAAATGCAAGTAAGTGGGGTCCAAAAAATGGGATTGGTAAAATGTGGGTTTGGGTTAGTGTGAAGGAAATGAGACAACCAAGGCCAGCCTGAGCAGTTAAGTAGCTAGGATTCCAGCTGCTCCATCCAAACTGATCCAGGCCCTAGCTGCAGTTTAGCCCCATCTGGTTATTTGTATCTCTTCTGGCTTAAATATCAAAGGGGCAATTATGGGTTTGAGGCTACCAGGGACTTTGAATATTATAGCCATGATTTCAGGGTATCTAAACAGTTGGTGGTCATTTTGTCACCCTGACTCAGACATTCAGCCAGGAGAATACTGAAAATGAAGGGATCCATTATTTGCCTCTCAAATTTCTAAGAAGGTGATGGCCTACTACTTTCTACTTGGCTTCACTCTTTCTTTCATCCTCCACAGGCCATCATAGAAGATAAGAAATTTAGCCTGATCCTGTTTGAGAATGTTATTATATCACACATTGTTAGTATATTTTAATTCATATCTATATATTTATTTATATATCTATATTGATGGAGTTAGGATGTGTTGTCCCCTCCAAAACTCATGTGGAAATTTAATTCCCAATGTGGCAGTGTTGGGAACTGACTGAGTCATGGGTGCAGATCCCTCATGAGTGGATTAATGCTCTCCCTAGATCAGGGGATTAATGAATGAGTTCTCACTCTATTAGTTCCTGTGAGAGCTCATTGTTTAAAAGACCCTGGTGCCTCCCCTCTCTCTCTCTCTCTTGCCTCCTCTCACCATGTGATTTGCTTGTACTCGCCAGCTGCAGCTGTCCCAGAATCGTAAGCCAAATAAACCTCTGTTCTTTATAAATTACCCGGTTTCAGGTATTTCTGTTATAGCAACACAAAACAGACTAAAACATATATATATGTATACATATCAACTTGCCTCAAAGATATAAAATGGTTAGAAAAATAGGAAAAGTACTATCTCAAGTATGGAAGTAAGAAATAGGTATTACAAGTACTGGATTAATGAGGAACCATAATAAGAGCAATGTAAGTTAGAGAACCTTGATCATCTACCACTGCCACTACAATATAGGCATGAGAGCTTAGCAGGGCGGCTGTTTTCAGGAGAGAACATTCTGTGGGATGGAAAGACCAAGTTAAGGAAAGGATACAGAACAGAACAATGGAATGAAATGATAAAATATACAAAAGAAAAAGTTGAGACAGGAAAGAGATGCAGATATTCCAATATTTATGCAATAAAAATTCCAGAAATTAACAAAAATAGAAAAATAAAAATAGTGGGGTGGCAACAGCTGAATAACAGGCAAGAACTTTCCCAAAATAAATACAAATATCCACAAATTGAAAACATCCACCAAGTCTCAAAGAAGATGAATAAGAAAAAGTACATCTAGACACATTGTGATGACATTTTTGAATGTTAGAAGTTTAAGTTGTTGATTTTCAGAACTTTCTTCTTTTCTACTATAGGCATTCAATAAATTTCCTCTTAATTACTGCTTTAGTAGCATTCTACAAATTTTGATGTTGTGTTTTTATTTTCATTCAATTCAAAATACTGTAAAATTTCTCTTGATTTCTTCTTTAACTTCTTTGATTTCTCTTTTGTTCTTTCAAATTATGTAGAAGTATGGTAGTTTCCAAATATCTAGGGATTTTCCAGATTTTTTAAAATACTGACTTCTAATTTAATTCATGATCACAGAACTTGCTTTGTATGATGTGAATCCTTTTAACTTTTTCAAATTATTTTATGGCCCTGAATATGATTTATCTTGGTAAATGTTCCATGTGCCCTTGAAAGTAATGGATAGTCTTCTGCTGTTGGGTGTAGTGTTCTTTAAATGTCAATTAAGCCAACTTGAGCAATTATGTCATTTATATCTTCTATATTCTTAATTATCTTACTCGTTCTGCCAATTATTTAGAGAGGAGTACTGAAATCTTCAATTATAATTGTAGGTTTGTATATTTTACAGTCTTTTTTTTTTTAATTAAGTCTTTGAAATCCAGTGTGTACTTTACACTGACAGCACATCTCCATTTAGCCTAGTCATATTTCAAATGTTAAATAGATCCATGTGGCTAGTGACTAACATATTGGACAGCACAGCTCTTGAATAACCCCATGGAACAGATTGTTTGTTTTTTGTTTTTACCATGACTATATAGTAACCAAACCTGGTTTTCTGGCTCTATTAAACATTCTGTGAGTGACCTAATATTCTTCAATAATTGTGTTTGCAAACAAGAAACCTAACCAAAATATACATACATCCTTTTATGGAAAAAAAATCCAAATAGGTTTAATTCAAAAATCTAGGAGAAAACCTAGAATAATGTCTACTATAGTAGTAAGAGACCTTCTTAAGACAGAAAATATAGAAGCCAGAAAAGCAAAGACAGACATTTTGACCAATAAAAATTAGCATGGAAATAAATGATCGATTTGGGGGGAACTACATGCAGAGCAGATGATAAAACTAGTCCAATGATTCTGATTTTATGAGGTGCTCAAATCACAAGAGTATTAATCTTTTTCTCTCATCCATTATTCACTTTGTGTGAATATTCAGTTGTTACTATGTTATTTGCTTATCAGTTAATGTAAATATACTCTTGGAAATGTCAATTGAACAAAATGGTCTTATTTTCTCACCAGAACTTATTTAATGTTGCATTCTCTAACCTTCAACCTTCAAAACAAGTCTATAATTCTGACCAGCTGCCTCACTTGT